GAGTAAGCTAGGAAAATGTACTTGTACCTGCAAGGCGGCCGTCGCCAACCCTTAAGCTAACCTTAGCAAATTCTCGAATCTCATAGGCTGTCGCGAGCGCGGTACCTTGTCTAGGCTCATCCTGGCCCCCGGCCTCTTTCCTGCTGAGGCCCTGGGCCCTGTAAACCTGGTATACTTAGTATACTTACCACTGTACCTGTGGATTTTATTACTGGTGCTTTTTTTTTTCTCGCTCTTTCGCACGCCGTTTCTACTTTTTGCGTGGATGCTCTGACCCGCGCTGGGGCCGATGTCTTAAAAGTACCTGTTAAACCAATCCATATCTTCCAATCCTTTTTCATCTCCTCCATCCTCCTCCAACTTGAGGCCATCTCCTAACTCTCTCCTTCCTTTCCTCGTCCTCTTTATCCGATCCATTCATTTTCCTCCTCCACGACACTTATCCTTACTATCGTCTCCTTGTCTATTTCAAGGAGGAAAGGAGGAGAGAGAAATACCGGGCCTTTACGACAGCGCAAGACGAACAGGGTAGAGCCGAGATAATAGCAGAAGAGAGGAAGAGACGCAAGTCAAATAGATGAAGAGAGAAGCAAAAAAAATTTAGGTTTTTTTTTGCTTTAGAACTTCGATAATTTTATCCTCTTCAGAAATCCTTCGAGGTAATAACCAATATTTCTGGAATTCGAATTCCTAGGTCTTTTTTTATCTGACCAGGAATCTCTCCCAATTACCACCAAAAAAACCCTCCCTACCTCAACTTTCATCCCGTTCATCAACCCCCCCTTCTTTAATCCGTCAAGGCGGTTCGACTCCCTCTATCCTGTCCCGTTCTCCATTCCTCGACCGAGCACCCTTCATCTCCTCCCCCTCCGCTCAATTAGATCGCCCCAAGGAGAGTAGTCTTGTCTAGCTTGCTGGGCAGACACAAGGCAATTCGAATCTCCTAATTCTCCCTCGTGCCAACGGTACCAGGAATCTGACTCTGGCTCATCGCAATTACTCCAGAAGAATATCGGTATTAGACTCCACACCGAGTCTACTACTGATTCGAGGATCTCATCCACGAGCCCTACATGAACCCAGTCGCTCGACTATAATCCATTAGAAGCGTGCAAGTGCAAAGGTACGTTTGAGAAGATAGCATTATATCCCCCAAAAAGGAAGAGAGGGGGGGAAAAAAGATTCATATTTTGCGAAAAGTCAAAGATTCATATTCTGATATTGGTTCCCTCCCTGCGCAGGTACATACCGACGGTCCACCTACAGTGTTCCAACGGTGTACTCGAACACTCACGCACGCTTCAATCCGCGCCGTCGAGCAGAAAACGCTTGCCCTCGTGGGACTCGTTAACTCGCTGTTCCCACCAAATTCATTCAGGAATCACTTAATTTCCTGTGATTAATCGTGGCGGTAAGGGAGACCCTTCTTCAGCGAAATTATAACACAGACCAACGTCATTTTGTATGCACGTATGCTGCATTAAATACTCCATCGAGGATCAATTGCCTGCCAGACGTTTTGCTGCGTGCCAGGAACAGATCCCCACATCATTGTCCCTCGAATCAGAATGCTTGGTGTTCTGCCCCTGATCGTGTGGTTCCAGAAGACCGTGCCCTGTTCCGCCTGGCCTGGTTTTGGTCCATCATGTCTCTCCTTGTTCTCAATTGGGTCATTGGTTTTTTACGCTAATACTTTTCCACTCCAGAGCCTTTTACTCGACGTCTCTTTTTTAACGGCCGCACCTCCGGCCCTCTTTCACCTCAACATTTCACCGTCTTTCGGCAGCCATTCGGCCATAGTCATTCCTTAATTTTTTTCGTCTTTTACTGCGTACAGTTCATCACGCTCATTAATATCGTAATAATCGTGTCGTTCGTCCCAGCCGGAATAATACACTCTTTCGACTTCCTCCTGCGACGACCACTCTAATACACTACACTCCTTCCACTGCATCAAGATTCCTGGAGAACCTAATCGTCACTCTTTTAAAGATCACATCCCAGTATTGAACCTACCCGGCGATATCACTCTACCGCAGTTTACTCAACCAATCCCATCACCGTCATCATGGCCTACTCAAACTCAACCGACTGTGGTTTCTTCGTCGAATCCGATGAGCCTCGACAACCTCGAATCAGCATGAAGGATGCGGCAAAGATGCTAGCCCGAAACCGGCAAGAGATGATTGCCAATGAGCTATCCCGCCTAGCCGGCGACGAGTATCTCGAGGATGTCATGCAGCACATGAGGCATATGGAGGTTGGTATTTTAAGATTACTATCCCCACTTATTTCCCTATCCAAGTATCCCAAATAATATAATAATGGTGGTTGGTATGTGTATTCTTATGGCTAACAATCAGAATAGGACGAGACGCTACCGGATGCCAATCTGATTGATATGCAGCGAGAGATCCAATGGTTCATGAGGCCCTACCTGATTGACTTTTTAATCGAGGCTCATGCTGCATTCTCACTCCTGCCGGAGACCCTGTTTCTGACTGTAAACTTGTTAGATCGGTACTGTTCAAAGCGAGTGGTATATAAGCAGCACTATCAGTTAGTCGGATGCGCCGCCCTCCTCATTGCTGCCAAGTATGGTGACAAGAAAGATCGGGTACCCCAAATCAACGAGCTGAACAATATGTGTTGTGGTCTTTACGATTCGGGAATGTTCACGCAGATGGAGATGCATGTCCTTAATACGCTCGAGTGGACTATTGGACACCCGACTGTCGACTTCTTTACGCAGCTTATCGTCGCCGAGGAAGCCGATGACCGCGAAGTTGAGCACATGGCTGCTTATCTATGCGAAATTGCATTGTACCATCGAGACTTTGTTTCTACGAAGCCGTCAATTATGGCACGTGCCTCGCTCGCTCTCGCGCGTGCGATACTTGGACGACCCGAAGTCAACGACGGCGAATGGGATCATGTGGAGAATGTTACGGTCCTCGCTCTATCTCAGCACTTACATCAGCCATCAGTTACGTTGTCAAGGAAGTACTCATCTCACCACCTCTCTCGCGTCTCTGGAAAGCTTGCCGAGTTTCTTGCACAGCAAGCAGCTATTTCCCGTCGAGCGCAAGGTCCACCCTCGCCTCCCGCGGAGCCTACTCTGTCAACGCAGCACCCTAGCATATATAGCACTCCTCAAAAAGGACACGGTGCTGCCATTGGTGTCGCGGACGGATATCTGACGCCACCTATCACGCCCGACGGTGTTAACTTCGGTGTTGTCACAGACCCAATGAACAAATATGTCCCGCCCAGGTGTCCGGTTACTCCTACACCTCAGCCTCCCAATGTGACCGGGTATCAGCAACAACAACAGCAACCTCCCGCGCAACAGTACTCTAACTACTCGTACGAGGAATATAGTGGCCCGATGGTCTCGTGATGGTTGCCATAGCTTGGACAGCATCTCTACGGATTCGAAGTAGATTCACCTTATCAATTCTATCATACGAATAACTCGTTTTTGAGACTTATCGCATGGATGTGTATCATTGGAAGAAAAAAGATTGTTGCATAATTGACGGTTTAGGTTCATCTCCATGGCATCAGCGACTTGTTTTTATTTTCAAAATTCTTTATTTTTCTTTTTTCTCAGTCATACCCATTGAGCGTGCCATTGTTACGTCAACCACTTAAGCGAACGATTGTCGACCAAAAAAATCTGTTTTCTCCTTCCTGTGAGTTCGGGCGTTTTTTCAATATCGATCCGAGTACAGAAGACGGCGCGCCAAAATTGAAGCACCAAAAAGCTACGGAGCGTTGAGACGGAGCAAATACATAAGACGGGCGAGGCTGGATGTGGAGAAAAAAAATTTAACTGGCAATTTGTGAACAATGGGAGGATGACGAAATTAGGGGCGCATGTGCAGTGGCGCGAGTACAGGCGAGCAATTCGTCAATTGCTTTCGAAATGTTGAGTGGTTTCGACTCGCCTCGCGCGGTCGATGAACCGCGAAAGTAATATTGGAGGCATGCCGCACGATATGATACACGGTTCGACTCCCTCACGCCGGGAGTATCTTAATTCTTGTGGAGGACGTTTGCTGCGGAATACCCTTGGCACTTGGACGATACCTTAGATGGCTATTCGTTCTCATGGTCGACTCTATGTCACATAGTCTGCCTACCGCGGCCGTAAATAAAACGGAAAAGAGTAAAAAATCTCTACAAAATTTTGTCACTATCTTGTTTTTCTGGTTTTGGTTAATTTTACGTGATTTTTTGTGTATATCCTTGAAATATCCTGGCGTCATTTTAAAACCCCTTTCTGAGACGCCCGAATGGTTAAGTAAGTGGTCCGAGCTATCAACTCGAAATGACTGAATATCCGATATCCACCTTAGATTCCTTCGCATAAGCAAAAACCCACCCATTTTCCCCTGGAGGCAATAAACTAATGCAAGTGGGCGGCTTTGTCCCGTAACGAAGCAGCAAGATAGATTATGATTTACCACGCATGATAATGCAGCATTTGACGCATTGGTTACTCCTTACCGCCATTTTGGTTAGTCGGGCTCACCCGCCATAGCTGAATTTAGAAAAATGGAAACATGGGAAAATGAAAAAATGAAAAAATGAAACACCCAAATCGCGATTTACCCTTATCGAACCATCTAACCCAGTAGAATTTAACTTAAATTTATCTTCGACATAGCCCATCCATCTGACTTTAGAGAAAGAGATAAGTCGAGAAGATGGTAGATAGTAGTGAAGCACTTCTAAGGGAAGAGAACTTGCTACCACGGCGGCGAAGATGATTGCAGATGAGTTAGGCGCCCTTGTCTTGGCTGTGTGGTGTAATTAGGCAACCAAGGTAGGAAGACAATGAGCCCCCAAATATTAAAATACGAAAAATACGAACCCAGCCTCAGCTGGAGATGACGCATCTTACGGCGTACATGCATTACTACAACTACTGTACTACAACTACTGCGGTATAGATACACAGCAGGTAACTTAGCTACCTCTATCAACCCGCAGCCATGGGACAAAGTCACCAGCAGAATATACTATTTCTGTCAGCATTAGAGAAATCAGAGGCAAAACAAAGCGTGGTCACCGCTACCGCTCCCCTGCTACTAGACGAATACATACGGCGAGTCGTCGGCTCCTCTTCTTCTTCTTCTTCTTCCTCCACTTTCCCAACACGGCATAGATCATCACCTGCAATCCTCGCACGCGGCCGCACAAACCATGTTTTGTTGTACAACGGGTGCTTCAACCCGCCGCACCGCGGACACCTCGCGCACCTGGTCCACGCGATCCGGCACGCGGGCCCGGACCTGAATATTGTAGGTGCCGTGGTCCTCGTGGCGGACGACTTGTACCTTAAGTGGAAGCTTGCTGGGCAGCGCGGCGCGCTGAATCTTAAGCTAAAGCAGCGGATTCGGCTTTGGGAGGGAGAGCTTGAGCTGATACCGGAGGGGGAGCGGTGCTGGGTGCTCTCGGAGACGCTGTGGCCCGGGCACGCGGATAAACTGGAGCAGCTTTTTAAGAAAGACGGGGTTGATGTTGAGTTTGTGAGGCTGGCTGGCGGTGATAAGGTGCGTGTTGCGGCAGTGGAGCATGGGGTGTGGGGGTGTCAGAGGGTGATCACGACGGATGTTAGTCGGCCGGTTGATTTCTACTCTAGTAGTGTCGGCGATGTTACTTTGCCGATGCCGCTGAACCGTCATGGTGAGTGGAAGAGGGTTGGAGAGAGGCAAGGGAAGGATGGAAGTGATGAAGGGGTTGGCAGTGAGACGCTCATTACCGAGTCCACGGTTATATCATCGTCTTCAACAACTTCGATATCCACCCCACAAACCAGCAGAAACATATGGACCTGCGATCATGGTCCAAGCGGCAGCTACTATAACGTCCGGTTCATCGCCAGCAGCCGCGACGAGCGCGTCGACCCAGACCTAAGCTCGACCAAGATCCGCGGGATCATAGCTGCCAGCAAAAAGCTCGATGTCGGCCAGCTCGAGGAGAAGTTACAAGGTATAGCGCTTTGTCCGGGGTTGCTGGCGCTGTATATTAAGGAGGCTAAGTAAGGAGGTATGAGTCGTAGGTAAAGACAGCACGAAGAGACAACACTAAGACTGGAGAACGGATGGAGAGATGCGGATAGAGATGAACAGTTCAAGAAGAGGAACAACCCTCGAGAAGTAGAAGTGGGCCTATACTTACGGCTAAAGCTTTGGGATAGCTTCGTACACACATAACGAATTCGGCCGGTTCGAGGAATATACTATGGTCGATTGGGTAATAATGATTCTGCGTGCATCTGAGATCATAGCACATAGTATACGATACCCCCTACAATAAGAATAAGAAACAAGATGTGCCTTCATTGTTAAGGCTTCTAGCATACAATTGTATTTACCTATACATTTAGCTATACTCATTAGCCAGTGTTATCTCTAGACAAGTAAAACTACAGAATTAATCTTTTCTACCCATATATTTCAACTCAAATAATCCTACCTAACATTTCAATTCCGGACGTAGTTATTACCATACTTCCGGAGCAACTAGGGACTTGTAAGTAACAGCGAGGCTGGACAATGTGTACGTCCTGATCATTCACTATCTTAAATTAATATATAATCATCTATGGCATGAGAAACTCCCCAGTAAGGGTTACTTAATATTGAACCGTGATGAACCTTTTTCTTCTTCTGCCAACCCCTTTCCCGCCTTACAAAGGGCGACCACCAACCCCTCTTGGTCGCTCTATTTTCTCCCCTACCTAAACCCCCTACATATACATCAGGACGAGCTTCCTTGTAACATGCTTTTTAAGAATACGGAATAAAAACGTGTAAGTCGAAAGGAAGTATCCTGGAGAAACGCAATAACAATCACAGTACTGAACCTTACACTGAAACCGTTACCTTTTACAACAACAGGTGTATAAACAGGTGTATAGGTACTTATCAATATCAAGGGATAAGTTATTTTTTATTCATTAGCTACTAACAGTAGTTTCGTCCGACATCCCCTACAGCTTTAAGTCTAGTATAGTTAGTTTTGACTGTATGAACCACTGTGCTGGTCCCCAAAAGACGAAATTACAACTCCAAAAAAAGTTCCAAAAAGGATAGGTGACCGTCTCACCCTCTGATAAATAGTATGATAACCTCCTCAGTCGTAATGTTTTCAAGTTTTCCGTAGTTCTAATATCTCACCTTCCTCTTCCTATTTTCCTTTTACCAAATCCACACTGGGCGGATTCGCTGCCACCGCGGATCCACTGACGTTGAAGTGCTAGTGATAGTAACGGTATTAATGATGGTGGTGATACTAGTGATAGTAGTGGGCACCTCTTCAACCTCAAATGTACTGGGTGGCTCCCCGTGGTTTCTCATATCATCTTGTATCATAGTATTCGGCCCTTTCTCACCGTCGGGCTCTGTCCATGCAATCATAGAAGCCAATGTTGTCATTGAAGGAGGGCGAAGCCCGCCGTAGGGAACCGCACCAGGAGGTAATGTAAAACTGGATGTCTGCGTGTTAGCTACCTCCGGACTCGACCCCACACCGCCGACGTTGGGAACCGATGTTGTCGGCTGGGCTTCACCGCCGTTAGTTCCAGTCGGCGCCGGATTTGCGTTCGAGCCCGGTGCGGTCAATACAGAGCTCCCCCCAGTATTAGGGCTTGATTGCGTCCCCAAACCTTGCCCGTTAGGCATGGGACCTCCATTCGTCGATGGATTGAAGGTTGGGTTGGACCCTGAACTAACCGGGTTGCTATTTTCATTACCTCCGTTTCCGGTAGATCGCATGCCTTGTCCTAGTTGTGTGTTAGATCCACCGCCCTCATTCGCCCAGGGGTTTGAAGTAGGGCTGAAGCCTACTGTTGAAGGGGTGCCATTACCAATACCTCCGTTTTTGGATGTATTTGGAGTACCACCTAGGTTGGAGTTCCCATTGTTGTCTGGAGAGTTACCGTTTGAACCACTATTCGGGCTTGATATGGTCGATTGACCTTGGTCCCCTAGAGTAGCTCTGCCTCCATTATTTAGTATCGAAGAACTTGGATTATCATTAGTCTGTGGATTGGAACCTGCCCCGCTGTTACCATTCGATGAAGCGCTTGCTTGCGATGTGTGGGGTGTTGCAGAGCCTCCGTTATCCCCACCTACGAATGAACGGCAAGCCGGGTCATTCGAACCTTGTGTACAAACTCCAGATATTCCACCATTGTTTGATGGGTTACTACTAGGGCCAGGGGCAGCTGATTCGTTACCTTGGCTGGGAGAAGTCTGCCCTGGGTTGGAATTGCTTCCGAATGAATTGGCTGTAGGGCTAGGAGATGGACTCCCTTGTACTTCACCCGTAGACGTCTGTGCCGGGGTTCCACCATTACTTGATTGGTGAATAGTTCCCTCAGCCTGGCTAGGCGAAGTTTGACCTTGGTTACTACCACTTCTAGGTGAAGTATCTGTAGGACTCGAGTCGGCTGATTCATGATTTTGGCTGGGTGTTTGTCCGGAATGACTATTGTCACTTGGTTGATTACTATTAGGACTTGGGGTTGTTGCTCCTTGACTTTGGCCATTCGGGCTGGTAGCAGACACACCGGAATTGCTACCAGCAGAAGGTGAAACCGGAGAGCTGGGATTTTCCCCAGGTGTTACTAAACTGGTACCTCCATTTCCGCTGCTAGAAGCTGAACCGAGACCACCGTTTTGGCTTGGCATACTTCCGTCAGAAGGCGAGCCGTGCCCTGATCCCGTGGGGTTCATATCGCCCCCATTATTTGGTGAAGTATTCAAGCTAGAGCCAAAAGCTGAACCTCCACTCGTTCCATCGTTTGAGGCTGAATTAGGTCTACCACCCTGACCGAAGCTGCCGCTACCAGCTTTGTTAGTTGCCGAGCTAGGGCTGGCCCCTGAGTTTCCATTCGGAGATACCGTTAAGCTATTTCTCGGTGTAGTTGGACTTGGCCCTAAGTCTCCATTTGTGTTTGAAGATGCTCCACCATTACCAGGACCTGGAGTGGTTCCGCTATTATTGGGCGGTGAGTTACCGTTACCGCCGTTGCCTCTAGGTGAAGTCGGACCAGCGGCGGAGCTCCCGCTTGGAAATGATCCTGGTTCTTCTGTACACCGCCCCGAGGTGACGCCACCGCCTCCATTCGGCGGTGTTGCCGAGGCGCCTGGAGTAGAACCTCCGTTCGCACTTGTAGGTATCGCCGAATTTGAACCCATATTATTAGGCAGCTCCCCCTGTGGTTGTCGTGTCTTGTGTCCGAACTGACTAACTAGTTGACTCATATCTGCATCAGGAGGAGGGAATACTACTGCCGGTCCCGTAACTACTGTTTGAGCAACACCGCCTACGTTCATAGATATGACCTCAGGTGGTTTTGCGGTCGCGGGTAGAGGTTGTGGACCCGCGCTGGCCCAACCGTGGGCTTGGTTGTCAGAACTGTAACAACTGAGCGCATCGTTACCACCGCAGGCTTGTTCAGAGTCACCTGTACATGAAACTGAGCATTTAGAATCATCGAGTTTCTGTGTACCATTGAGAAAGTTCCCACAGTAGCAGCTGTCACCGTTTTCGGTACCTGCCATAAGAAATCCATGGCCTATACAGTGCTGGACACATCCTTCGTTAGTTAGAGGACCTAAATTGAGATATGGTTCCATGTTAAGCACCCGGTTGTCAGCTTGGTCAGCCCAGCAACCGCAGTAGCCCCAGCCTGAAGCCTCTCTGGGACTTTTTGGACTCAGCATAGTAGGGCCTGACTCCGTTGGTTGTGTCGGGCTTGACTGAGAGGGGTTCCTAGACAAGGAAACTGTAGATGACATGGTTCCAGGGCCATTCGTAGCTGGTCCGCTTGATCCTGCACATGTTTCCGGACCTAAAGTTGGTTGAGGGACACAAAACCATCCTCCGTCGCAATGAGCACAAGGCCAACCAAACCCGCAAGGTGCAGGCTGTGCCGGAGTCTGAAGAGGCGGACAAAACCAACCGTCAAGACATTCGTGACAAGTATAACCGGAGCTAGGACATGGCCCTCGGGCACCAGGAATCCCAGACAGAGAGGTAGTAGTAGTAGTAGTAATAGTAGGACTGCCAGCACCACCAGCGTTTGGGCAATGGCAAGTCGGAGAAACACAATCGGGGCAAGGCGGATTAGGCGGACACGGCTGATTGGCATAGACGGTCAAGGTATGAATTCTACCAGCTCTGTACGCTTGTTAATTACGTAGATTTTCCCAATACCTCAAGACAAGCTTACAAGAAGATCGTCTCGGTTAATTTTGAATGGCAATCCTCTATTACGGTGACCATCCTATCGGCTAATACGAGTAAGTATGGATTATTGAGAATCCGAGGAATAGCTATAGTACTTACCATGAGTAGTGACTGTCTCGAGAATGATGTCCAGACGCGGCAGTATGGGTGTTGTCAACGATAGTTGAGAATTAGTCGTAGCTGGGGTGTCCGAAGTAATAGAGTTGATAACCGTATTGGTTATGCTATCGAGACTACTGCTAACTATCTCGGAACGCCTCCTTACGTTTGATGCTGAAAGGTCATCTGTAGGGTCTATAGCAATTTCCTGAACGACACTCTCTGTGATCGAATTTATGTCTCCGAATAAGCTCGCCATGGTATATAGAGAATTAGGGGCTTTCTGTTGGCTGGTTTCGACCTGGTAGCCCCCCCGTGCAAAGCCAGTAGCTATAACTTGTCTCGTGGCTTGTTCCCTCGAATCCGTTCTATTGTCGATTTTAGGCGCTGTCAAGGGGATTACTCTGTCAAGTATACCACTAAACTTGCCTGCAAGGACCGGAGCCGTAGAACCCGTGGGCTCAGACAATGTAGGAACAGGCAAAACTGGCTGATCCGTCAACAAAATAGGTATCCCTTCAGAAGGACTGATACTCGACGAATTAATCGTCGATATATAGTCACCTGGACGAGCAGTTATGTCTATCTCTGGGGGCGTCGTGCCTAGAATGAGGGTCCTGGAGGTCATATTAGAGAAGTCGTCTATGTTGATACCACATTTCTTGCGACGATATTGCCATCTACTATAGTTAGCAAGCAGCTGCTTAGATAGGACATCGCTCCCTGTAGATAGGTTGCGATTCTCGAACGTTAGATTGGCGAAACCGTGATAGGTAGTTGCCGCAGTTAGTGAACTAGAGAATAACACAATCGTTATGAGCAAGTATCCCGCTATACCTAGAGACGGGGATGGCATTTGGAATGCGAGGTATATCGTAAGGACTTTAAACAGGAGACAAAAGGATTTATGGTTCAAAAGGGATTATTGGTCGAGTCAAGTTCAAAATTGAGCCAAAAACTAAGACCAAAAAGACCAAAATTGGCAATAGTTAGGACAAAAGGAGGTTTAGTAGAGCGATGATATGGATGAGAGTATGAAATGGTATTGATATGGATTTAGAAGTTGATTTACCTAATGTTATATTTAGCTGTCGCTACTCCCTTTTGTGTAATATAAACATAGTAGGAACGGCCTATATTTGATTATGGGAGGAATGACTGAAATATAGGGACTTGCTCTACTATTATTGACACGTTATTTCCTTACCCATCATGAATAGCTAGGTACCTAGTCTTCGCGGAAGGTATTAATGGCCCGTCTGCTTAATCTATGACCATCGCGCTATACCTTTACTACGCAATTCTACGAACTGCATAGGTACCTAGCAGTATTTTATATAGGTATCTTTAGGGGCCCAGAGTTGGTATTGATGCTTTCTTACGTACCTAGGTGATATAGCATCTTCATCTTAAACACTCGCTATGGGGCTTATAGTCAACATCAAATAAACTTTGTAGCTTCACAGCGCACTAAAAATGGATCATAGGTATGAATTGTCAGAATCGAGCTGCCATTTTGCTGCCTTAATCTGATGCCTGCCTACCCGGCACCGATGCAATTAAAAAAACAAGAACGAGTCTACGCCATATGCCCCGAATTCCGCATTTAGTATCGCTTTCCTTCTCGGAGAGTATCCGCATACTCCTCCAGCGGGCTTCTGATCAACTTCGTCTCGGTCCACAGGTTGGGCGTTAAGAATCCGTACGAGTTGGAGATAGCGGCGAATGTGGCCTTCAGGGTGTTCTCAAGGGTCTTGGTGGAACCAGACGACGAGGTGTAGGCGTCCTCGATACCGGCAAGCTGTAGGAGACGCTTGACAGCAGGGGATGCGACGATCTGGGTACCACGAGGGGCGGGGATAAGCTACAAATAGTATTAGTACTGACTTTCTCTTTATCGGCGCATTTTGAACATACTCGGACAGTGACGGAACCGCACTTTCCACTCTCCTTGACGGGCAGAGAGTGAGGAAGACCAAGGTTGGTACCCCAGTAACCACGTCGGACGGGGATGACGCTGAGCTTGGCGATGATGATCGCAGCACGGATAGCAGTAGCGACTTCCTTGGAAGTCTTGATACCAAGACCAACGTGACCCTCGGAGTCACCAATGATGACAATAGCCTTGAATCGGGTTCGCTGACCGGCACGGGTCTGCTTCTGTACGGGCTTGATCTAAATTCGGGGAATCCAAGTTAGTAATTTTATTCCGACACTCTTGTACCCGTGGGTTTCCTGAAAAGAAAGTCCTGGAAACTTGTTATGTTTTCTGGGTTAAATCGTACCTTCATAACCTCATCCTTGAGCTTTGGCAGGAAGAAGTCGACGATCTGATACTCCTTGATAGGGAGAGAGTGTAAATAGATCTCCTCCATGTTCTTGATCTTGCCAGCCTTCACAAGACGTCCCAACTTAGTGACAGGCATCCATTCCTTCTCGCTATCCTTCGCACCACCGCGACGGCCTCGACCTCTGCCACGACCACGGCCACGATCGCCGCCTCGGTCACCTCGAGAACCAAAACCGCCTCCGCGGGCACCGCCTCGGTCAGCCATAGTGAATTATTTGTGGGAGTGTTGGCTGTTGGAAAGTCGTTAGTAAGGTAGTGTGCGTAAAGCGAAAACCCCCGAATTGAGCTTTTCGTGATGGCGGTTTTGAGGTTGACCGAATTTCGAAGTTTGGGAATTTTGCAGTGGAGGGGCCCTACAATTTTGGAATTTCGTTCTGGGTTTGTGGGAAAATGGGCCCCAGCCGAGGTGGTCAATGCACACACTATCTGCCGATAACCGATAAGATTAGGTACCTAAGTACATTAGGTAGGTATGTAAGTACACCTCATATGTACCTACCTAACATAATGAATTTCGTAACAAGATTAGGTCCTTCCAAGTATTCTCCATCCATGGTATTTTGATCATTTATTTCTACGAGGGTTAATTTGTTTGATGATTACCTATTCATGTTTGAATTATACACGTAAGTACGACGGCCGGAGAGATTACTTGCCTTCCGGAGATAATTGAACCATATACCCTTTTCTAGTTTCATCTACTACGATATCGTAGTCTCTAGCATACTCCTAGCTCAAGTCTTAAACCTATCGCGAAGAACTGCGGAAATAATGAGTTATCAGGACTAAATCTTCATAATAGCCTAGGCAGATATTAATATGAACTAAGCCATGCAGAGATGAGTCTCCCTAGGTAAGCCATTAGGCCGCGTCCGGATCGAGAACAGCCCTATAAACATAAATTAGAAACTGGATGAGATATTATATGTAGGCAGTTAAGAGGTACTAGTTATAACTAGTCAGGCATAGAACAATGCACATATTTCGTGCAAATGTCAAGTTTCATTACCATGATCTAACGTCATACGCCGATACTGAGCCTGTAACCTAGGCCATGTCGTGATAACCGCGAATAACCTCGCGGTTGCGCCCTCAGGTCCAGGTTATATTTACAATAGGCAGTTGGATTTTTGTAACCGAAAACATCCCAAGCCTAGCCTGACTATCCCAGTAATAGGAGTAAGTGGAGTAAATAATGCATAATTCATGCTCAATGTAAACGATGCAAAGGGAGGACGAAGTGCGCAGAGTATATTTGAAAGCAATATAAGCACGACGAATTCCCGAGAAGGAGGGTATCTCATCATCATTCCGTCCGTAACACAATCCACAATCCCCTACTCGTCCTTGCGGATCAATGAATCCGAAGGATTGACTCGTTGTGCCCACTCACTACTTGCTGATCAGTTACGTGAAGATAGTCAAAAAGTAAAAGGTTCAACTCACGTCCAGCTACCATCGTAGACCCGCCGAGTCTCGAAAGAACCGTACCCTGCTTCCTCGAGAGCAGTATCGATGACAACTGCCGTTACTCCCGTGCCACATGACGATATGATCGGCTTGGTCGGATCTATCCCCTTCTCCTTAAACAACTTCTGTAGTTGCTCCTTGGGCAAGAATGCCTTGGTCTCGGGGTCGAGGACGGCACTAAAAGGAATATTGATAGAACCCGGCATATGGCCGGATGAGAGACCCTCTCTGGGCTCGGGGTCCTTGCCGGTAAATCTCCCAGCAGGTCTTGCGTCGATGATCTGAATCCCTTCGGAGCCTTCCTTATTATAATCTAGGGCAACCTCCCGCACCTGTTCGAAGCTTGCGACCTGGGTTTCGTCTGTCTTGGGAATTGGGTACGGGTTGCATTCTACGCTGTAGAGTTCGCCCGACTCAGTGGGAAGGCCTTGCTCCACCCACAACTTAAAGTTGTTCAGAATATGTACCTTGGGGTGACCAAATACCCTAAGGGTCCACGCTACTCTTGGCGCACTGAAAATACCCTGCTCTTTTGAGTCGTAGACAACTACTGTATCATCCTTTCGAATACCAAGAGAGCTCATTGCTTCTGCGAATGTCTTGGCGCTCGGTAGCATATGGGGATATGGACTCCGTTTATCGTTGACCTTATCGAGATCAAAGAAGCGGGCCTTTGGTATTCGCTTCTCGATGAAGACGTCAATGCCCTTTCGCTCGTCATTTGGTAAGAACCATGAGGCGCATAAAGGAATAACTCGAGGCTCGGGACTGATAGGTGATGGCGGACTTTTCTTTAGAGCATCTGCCAGCTCAGCGGGGGTCACTAGGTAGGAGGACATGTTCCGGCGAGGTTCTATGAAACCAATTAGGCATCTCTGGAAGCTTCGTCGTGGAGAGAAAGCTCGCGTGGAGCGAAATATTGCAAAAGTCGCCATAACTAGACCGCTCTTTCATGCGACTTATGCACGCTATGGGTCGATTGTGAACTCTTATATTTAGACGAAGTAATACTCAAGAAAGGTCTTCTGGGCGGGTGAGGTCCGGTCGTCGCTTAGAAGTGAGCAATCCAGATCGCCACCACCGCCCGAAGAGATCGTGAGTGACGGTAATTGAATAGAAGAAAAGTGACGCTCGGATGATTGAATATGCTCCAATTTGTCTTGAGAGCTTTGGAGAAATGATGTTATGGTGCGGGGTCTTTTTAGTACCTACAGTTCGTCACTTCCTTTGTTCAACCAAATACCAACGGTGTTAATAATTTCGCGTAACGCAAGAACAAACAGCTTTGCGATGGCGTGAAGTCAAAATCTCGATTCTCCAATTACGAAGTGGCTGCCCGATAAGCAAGGTTTGTACCTGACCAACAGAGGCGCCTACTATCTATAAGATTCAATTGTGGAGTACATCCTACTAACATCAGGTGTGATGCCGAACAGCCCGACCTATTGCGACTGCGACGAACTGGATGGTCTAATTTTATATCTTTAGGTAATTACGGTTTATTGCATATTTACAACAAGAATCCAGCTAATAGATTTTATTGCTGCGATTGTGTTATAAACAGCACGTAACAGAATAAGACATCACGAAGACGTTCACTACATCACTACAAACAATACATCAAGCATCTAAACTAAGCAAACTTCCTCAATGAAGGTCAAAATAAAGCAGTGGAACGCGGTCGCAACGTGGAGATGGGATCTCCCAGAAGATGATGTCTGTGGTATTTGTCAAGTTCATTTCGATGGAACATGTCCTACTTGCAAATATCCCGGCGACGATTGCAGCCTTCGTATGTTACTGCATCACGCATTTTCACCCATCATACATAGAGAGAAGTCTGGCTAATTATTCTTAGTATCAGGCAAGTGTGGTCACAATTTCCATATGGTAAGTGTTAGGCAAATACAAAAAAAAATTTCGGCAAAAATTAAAAGTGCTGACACTATAAAAGCATTGTATCATGGAATGGATAAAGCAAGACTCGGCTAAGGGGCAATGCCCAATGTGTCGACAGAGTAAGTTGACTCTCCTCCTTTTGTCACAACGAATGGACTTGCAGCTAATATATCGTGTTATCCAGAGTTTGAGTGGGAAACAGAAACAGGTGTAGCTCAACAAACAGCTGAAGATGGCGAGTTAGACCTGAATGATGCCTAGTGATGAAAATGCATGAGCATCACTAGACACGTTCTAGTTTCCTATTATAACTTCTGGTTTTTATAAGAGGCTTTTATTCTTAATGTCTTGAGGTTGATATTTTTTTTTACTTGCGATGGAGTTGGGAGGGTTATTAAAGTAAGTCATATCACCTCATACTATTTTACTATTTTACTTATATTCATAAAGGTATACCTAAACGGGATCAACTCCAAATACTAATTACTCAATATCTAGAGGATTAGGCGTCTACATGAGTCTACCAGATGATAATATCAACGTTTCTTGCACTTATTTACGCTTAGGTTATATGTACCTAGGTACCTCAGTATTGACTTTTCGGCAAGGAATTCCCGTCCTTGCATATGGTGTTTAGGTTTCTTACTGGAGCACAAAGCTTCCCTTTCCCCACATAACGATAAGATAAAAGCTGCGAATAGCTTAAAGAAAAGCGAACTAAGGCCAGCTGGGTGGATACCTGGTCAAGGCACATGTACCTTGCACGGCTTACAGCTTGCATGACACCACCTGCGGTCTTCCATCACTAAGGTACCTCTGCTCATTAGCAAAAACTCTTGGGCCCTTCTCGCCTATTACCCTCCAATACATGGACCTTCGGAGCCATGATGCGCAAGTTTCCTCTTCATTACTTCCATCCGGACTTCTTCTCCGCTTCTCTCGAACAAATAGTCCTCTCCATGATTCTCACAGGCTAGCCTTCAAGATGACGGAACCCCCATCAGAACAACCGCCGATGGCGGACACTTACGACGACCAAGATCACGAGCCGCATCCGTTTGCGCCAATATTCACCCTCGTGAATAATGCATCAACGCGTACAACCCATCATCCACATGTGCGCTACATCTTCAGCGACGATGACCCAGACATCCTAACACATGCATTAGCCGAACTTGACATCGGTGTCGACGGAACCACCTCCGACCCAGCCTCGTCCAATAGGGCTATGGTACTAGACCTAGCACCCGACCCTACAGGAGGATATAGCGTTGCTTGGACTTCAAGTTTGTCGCCATCCTGGGCAGTGCTAGATGCGCAACTCAGCCAAATAGCACCACCTTCGTCCGACGGGGGAAGCAATAACGGCAACGGAGGTGGAGATGGTAGCAGCCGACCCGATCGCCTTATGTTAAAAATTGAAGGCATAGAAAGCAATAGTCTAGGCTCGGAGGGTGGACTATCTGGAGAGGCAAGCAGATACGGTTCAGGTAGCGGAAGTGGTGGTGGAAGTGGACAGCATGATCGTGATCGAGGGGAGATCGAAGACTATACCAACTTAGTGGACAAATTTGACAGGCAGATGGCCACACTTCGGAAAATCGTTGATGCTAGCGAGGAGAGACAACAGAAGACAACCGCAGATATCTATGCGACAGTAGAACCTACACAAGAAGTGGCGGGTGGAATCTAACCGACGGGTTGAGAGCTTTAGAAGAGACCGATAATTATCCAACGCGAAATCCGAACTATGCCATAAGATTGTTCTTAGGAGGTTTCTTGATTTTATTAGAACGGCGACCGGAATAAAAATTGTATCGCCAGCTGAAAGGCTACAGAGAATGATGAACAGGATTACAGAACTGCAAATCGTCGCCTCGATCGGAGGAGTGTTATACGGAACTTAGGGTCCGAGGTTAGGACGGTGTGGCTTAAGCCTTGCCGCGGGGATTTTGGTCATAAACGGTTCTTGAGTTAGTATATGTACTGTTTCTAATTATTACGCCTCGTCTGTGGAACAAGTCAGCGAAGGCTTGCCTGAACGCTGATATCAGTATGCACCAGACATCTTACCAGAAGCTACGGCTTAAGGCCGTCCGGCCCGTTGGCTGGTTTTGTGATTCTATGTGCCCTATAAGAGTATTAAAGTCGCTAAATATCGGTTCACTTTGTCCTAGACGAGAATCCTAAAATATATTGTCTAAAGAATGTCTGGCGGCTTAGTAATTTGATCAAGCTTTAACTCACTTGACTTAATTATTGAAACCCTGTCCTCATAAATATACTAACTCGGACGCTACCTCGCAGCATTATTAGGACGGTTCCCTTCGATACTTTTCCCTAGTGCTGCCGTAATCCTTTAAATATTTATCACTCCCTTTCTTCCCTATATGAAGTAGGTAATGTACTTAGTTTTAGACGACAAACACCAGGAATCGGAATCGGACATTTTCCGCAGTATGTCGAATCTACTCCGTACCACAGTTTACATGGCGTAAGGGATGGGGTGATTTATATAGTAAGTGCGAGTGGATATGGAGTTTAAGAGTTCTAAATTAGGTATTGGTTCAGCCCTTATTGGTCATCCTATGAGGGGGGATTTGGATAGGTATAGAGTATTATGTATAAACAGGTACATTATTCCTTGCTACTAACACTTCACATCCCTTGATTTATAGATCATTATTCCATTGTTATCTATTTTCGATATTGGTGTTCCTAAGTAATTTATACATGTTATGACGGTTAATTGGCCTCAAGGTGACTAGTAAGTATCGTGAGCTGCTTCAACATTCGTACTCATGTCTTTCTATTATATTTTGCTTATTTTAGAGTCCGCCTCTATATAAAAGTCGTCTTTGAGCAACCATACATAACGGGTAGGTAAAATTGGTATCACGGCCTCCTACATCTATCTCTGGCAGTCAAGTGTAACTTAATAAATACGATGATCTGATTTGATTGCCTTTATTAAAGATATCTTACATTAATGAGCAAAGACTTAGTCACCGCACTATGTAAATAGTAGCCCTGAGATCTGAGAATCAGCATGCGTGTACGATCAGATCCTCCTTGGCACCCGCATTCAATTTCCATCTTTGTACGTAATGACAAGGTTCTCAACCCGGGAAGAAGTCGCCTGTTTAACGATGTGACCCCATCCCCAACCCCTGGCCTTCATAAATCACAGCCACCGGGCCAACCACCGCGCGTCCTTCGAGACCTCTTTGAAACGCCTATTTGTAACAAAGTCTGCCGCAGATTACGACAATGCCATTACTACTACTTTCCCACAAAGCACCAGTCTACATAGGCTCCCTCTTTCGTTATTAACACAATCGATAATACTAACCTTGTCTGTCTGGGCAAAAGAAGATTCCATTGAAATACAGATCGCCCTGCTCTTTACTTGCGGGAGAAAAAGCTTGGCATTCATTTCTCTTATCATTCTTTGTTTGTTTCCCGTCTCTATTTCTCTTCGGCTGGCCTGGACTGGTGTTTGTAGTGCTGCGCATTCTACGGCCGCTAAATTTCTCTTCGATTTTCTTTTCTTTTCGAGTCTAGTTGTATTTTACGCTATCGGAATTCCTCGTGTCTTGATACCCAAGGGAAGAATAAGAAAGAAAGAAAGAAAAAGGCACAATGTTCGGAAAGACACGTATCCCGCCCTACACTCCGTCGGCGAGCGACGTGGTGCGCCGTCAGTACATTGAGGATGATAATGGCCGTTACGTATGGTTTTGGTATACTCGGGTATGTATTTGAACATTGCAGCCCTGGGGATTTTTCTAACGTTGTTTCAGACAGGCGTGATTGTCAAATGGTCACTGTTCCTGGGCATCTTGCTCCTACTGATGCTATACCTCGTCCTCGGCCGCATGCACGCCAGGAAGCTCATCCGGCAAGGCAGGAAACCAATGGCTTACCACGGCGTACGTATAGCCTTTTATTGATGCTATCTCATCAACCAATATTGATAACCTAAGCTAACGTATCGTAGTGGCTACTTTCCCGCCAAGAGAGAGGCACCGTCGACCCGCAATATGCTTGGCCGCAAGCTTCCTACACAACTTACCAACAAAGACCGGGTTACGGAGCCCCTAACTATGGCATGCACCATATGCCCCCACCCGTCTACGACCCTAACAACCGCCCCCCGATGTATGAAGGAGGCCCGCCGCCGATGGGAAGCACTAAGATCGATCCCATGCAGACTGGTGTAGAGCAAATGCGACAACCCACTGGCGATGACTATGCGCCGCCTCCTGGACCGCCGCCATCTGCTGCGCAGAGATAGACGACGGTTGGTTAGGGACGGATGTGGACACGGGCGGTTATGCTACTTAATGTTGGGACGGGGGAAAGGATTGCATGAAGGATTTGTCTTGATTCATACCCAAGCTTGCAGTACGTAGCAAGAAATAGCACTGAATATGACGGATGACTTGTACGATTTGTGTACAGGATAATAATCTCATTGTAGCCTGCCTACATAGGCACTAAGTGTTGCATGGTAATAGAATGTCCAACTAGTGCCGTGAAGTGCGCCGCTATACGCCTGTAGCAAAGAATAAGCCTGTAGCAAAGAATAAGCACCTAAGTCCCTTTGATATTGCGCCTGTCCGCCAGGGTATCTACAAAATTAGCCAAACTCCTTATACGTATAATCATAATCCGTTCAGTCCACCTCCATTGCATCCGGGTCGTCGTTAGGGGGGAATTCGGTCCCATTCTGGTTCATAAATCCATTCATAGTAATCGGCGTACTTGGCGCGTTAAACGTGGATGGGGCAGGTATAGTAGGCTGGTACGACGGAGGTGCAGCTTGTTGTTCAAGATCCTCTTTTTGCTTGTCTCTGGCCCTTTGTCTCGCTTCAATGATGGCTCTCCTCACGCTATCCTGCTCCTCGGGTATAGTTAAGGAGGTGGGTTCTCTGTATAAAACTAATTGCATGCCGGCAATCTCGCCGTCCTTATTAGCTAGTACTAAGGGCGGGATGCGGTTCTGCATGAGATGCTTCTCAATGTCGGGTATAAAGACAAGGCGGCCGTCGGACTCAGACTCGGTGTCTGAGAGCTCGTCGTCCAGGTTATAGATGTACACCTTGTGTTTCGAGTCGTCAAGCTGCATGCTATCGTTTTCGGGAATCTGGGCCAGCGAGGTACATTCAGCCGGCTTGAGCTTGGGGCTCTCGACTGGGACGTAGAGCTTCTGGCCATTTTGTTCTACCAGAGGAAATCATGTTAGTGAAGATGCATTGGCTATAATTGGTGGGGGATAAATATAAAAAATAAAAATAAAAACCTACCGAGATTGAGAAGACTTAGTCTCTTGGATAGTCTTTCATTGTCCTGAGACTCGGATTTCCTCTTACGCATCTTTCGCGTTCCTCCGACATTGAGATATTGTTGATAATGTTGTTGTTGCAACAAATCGGAGCTAGGGGGTTCATAGACGTTGGGGTTGGAATTGGGGAAGGGAATATAGTTCCCATTGATGGAAGCGCCTGGAATAACGGAAGTACATGTAGGTGCTGCGGTAGCGGGGAACTGCATTGTTCTAGGATTGGTGTATGGGAAACTAGAAAGCGCAAAGGCGGTCGAGCTAGGCCCTACTTCGACATCCATGGCTAAACTTATCCGACTATTTTCTTTATCTTTTCCACCTTCTTCTTATCAAGTACATATACCCAATTAGCTAACAACAGTAGGGTCGTGCGCCGGAGTCGCTCTCTTCGAATAGCTGCGAGGATCAGCGATAAGGTTTTATGAGAAATTGATTTAAATTATTTAACAATCAATTCGATAGTATTTTTATGATATGATTCCGAAGTCGCAGGTTGGATTGGGTGCGTAGAGGTTGGTACGTATTGGTATAATTTTATTTTAGGGGTCCAATTGAAGTTTGGGGGAGTTTTTTAAGCGTCTAGGCCGAATGAAAATCCAATGCGGCGGACAGTCGCCGTTTATAGGCGGCGCATTATTGAGTCATTCTTGTAGAAGATTCTATCCTTTTTCTACGCACCCGGCCGCAAACATTCTTCGGCCGGCTTCTAATTACTCCACAACAACGAACAAATCCGTATTATCATCTCGCTTACGTTTATCTCTTTCTCCTTCAAACGTATACCGATTTCGATTTCGATTTCGATTCTCGACAACAAGAGCATATAAAACCGTCGCCATCATGGGCGAGCCCAAGTGGACCGGCGTTGGCGTCCGCAAGACTTTCTTCGAATTCTTCGAGGAGAAAGGACACACTATAGGTACGCAACGCAACGCCACAATACCATTGCATGACGATTTATTACAACATGCAAATGCATCTTAATATATTCTTTCGATATCCCTCCACAAAATCTTATATCAAAATTTACTAATGTTCCTCTTTTTTTCCCAGTGCCCTCATCGTCTGTTGTGCCTCACAATGACCCCACCTTACTCTTTACCAATGCGGGCATGAACCAGTTCAAGCCCATATTCCTGGGTACCATTTCTAGTTCGGATGAAATGTCCAAGCTGAAGCGTGCCGTCGATACGCAAAAATGTATACGCGCTGGTGGGAAGCACAATGTATGATACCTCGCGACTCGGCCCTATTAACGTACTTGATTTTAATAACAGAAACTGCATAGGACCTCGACGAGTGAGTTTGATAACGGCTTTACTTGAACGCTATCGAATGTCTATACGTATGCTAATCGGAAATCCAGTGTCGGTAAAGACAGTTATCACCATGTAAGCACATACACCCATCTTCTATCTGTTTGCGTGAACTGACTTGAATCGTAGACATTCTTCGAGATGTTGGGCAACTGGTCCTTTGGTGATTATTTCAAGAAGGAGGCGATAGGATGGTCGTGGGAGCTTCTCACTAAGGTCTATGGGTTGGACCCCGAAAGACTCTACGTCACTTACTTCGAAGGCAACCCCGCCATGAACCTCGAGCCCGACCTAGAAGCCAAGGAATTGTGGAGATCTGTTGGCGTGCCCGAGGATCATATCCTACCTGGTAACATGAAGGACAATTTCTGGGAGATGGGCGACCAGGGTCCTTGTGGCCCTTGCAGCGAAGTTCACTACGACAAGGTTGGAGGGCGCAATGCTGCACACCTAGTCAACCAAGATGACCCCTTAGTCGTAGAAATCTGGAACAACGTCTTTATCCAATTCGATCGTCAGAAAGATGGCTCGCTCAAGTCGTTACCGGCGAAGCACGTCGACACAGGAATGGGTTTCGAACGACTGGTATCTGCACTTCAGGACAAGAGCTCGAACTACGCAACTGATATCTTTACACCCCTATTTGATAAAATCCAGGAAGTCACGGGAGCGCGGTCGTACACTGATAAGTACGGCAAAGATGATGTGGATGGAATTGATACCGCTTATCGTGTAGTCGCTGATCACATACGACTACTCACATTCGCCATATCAGATGGCGCCGCGCCTAACAATGAGGGAAGGGGTTACGTCGTTCGTCGTGTACTGCGGAGAGGTTCACGTTATGCTCGAAAGTATTTCAATGCGGAAATTGGTTCGTTCTTCTCTAAAATCCTACCTGCACTTGTCGACCAGATGGGCGAACAATTCCCAGAGATCGTTAAGAAACAGCAAGATATCAAGGAGATACTAGACGAGGAAGAAGAGGCATTTGCCAGGACGTTGGACCGCGGAGAGAAACAGTTTGAAAAGTATGCAGCTCAGGCACTCAACAGCGGGGCGAAGAAGCTCTCGGGAGCGGATGTTTGGAGATTATACGATACTTTCGGTTTCCCGGAAGATCTAACTAAGCTCATGGCCGAGGAGCGGGGTCTCGAAACTGACGAGGGCGAAATTGCCATTGCTAGAGAAAAGGCCCGAGAGGCTAGCAAGGCCGTAAAGGAAGCAGTGCAGACATTTGCAAAGTTGAACGTCCACCAAATTGCCGAATTAAAGGATAAATTGCAAGTACCTGTTCCGGACGACGAGCCCAAGTTTTTCAAGGGCGACACGACTGGAAAAGTTCAGCTTATCTACACAGGCACCGGTTTCATCAAGTCGACTAAGGACCTCCCCCCGAATACCGCCTTCGGTCTTTTACTGGACAGGACCAATTTCTACGCCGAGCAAGGTGGTCAGGTTGCCGACACCGGAAGAATTGTTATCGATGATGTCGCGGAGTTTGAGGTTCACGATGTTCAACAGTTCGGAGGATATGTAATTCACAACGGATTCTTAAAGTACGGAGAACTTAAGGCCGGGGATGAAGTTATCTGCGAATATGACGAGCTGAGGAGACAGCCTATTCGCAATAATCACACCGGCACGCACATTCTCAACCACTCTCTACGAGAAGTACTTGGCGAAGACGTCAACCAGAAAGGTTCACTAGTCGACCAAGACAAGCTCCGGTTCGACTTCTCACACAAGGCGGCAGTCAGTCTTCCCGAACTTAAGAAGATCGAGCATTTATCAAATGAGTATATCCGACAAAACTGCAAGATCTACTCTAAAGATGTCGAGCTCGACTTGGCAAAGAAGATCAACGGTGTTCGCGCCGTTTTCGGCGAGACCTATCCAAACCCGGTCCGAGTGGTATCGGTTGGTATCGATGTCGACATGCTACTCGAAGCACCGGAGAATCCCGAGTGGCGAAAGGTTAGTGTCGAGTTCTGTGGTGGCACGCACGTCGACCAAACTGGCATCATGAAGGATCTAGTCGTTGTAGAAGAGAGCGGTATTGCCAAAGGTATTCGCCGTATTGTAGCATATACTGGTGATGCCGCGCACCGTGTGCAACGTGAGGCTGAAGAGTTCTCTAAGCGCATCGTTGTTATCGATGCCCTACCATTTGGTCCCGAAAAGGAGGCCGAAGTTAAGCAGGCTACGGTAGATCTCAACAACCTCGTCGTATCTACCCTAACCAAAGAAGATCTAAAAACTCGGTTTGCAAAGGTTGTTAAGGCCGTCGTCGATGAACAGAAGAAGCGACAGAAGGCCGAGAGCAAGACTGCTCTCGATACCGTATCCGCTCACTTCGCTAAGGATGAGAATAAAGAGGCTAAATACTTTATTGGACACTTGCCTATTTCTGCTAACGCCAAGGCTGTTGCGGACGTCATGAATCATTTCAAGAGCAAGGACAAGGATCGGTCTGTGTACATTTTCGGTGGCAGCGAGACCGAGGGGGCTGTCGTGCATGGTGTATACGTCGGCACAGTAAGTCGAATTCACTCCCTTTATTTATCCCCGAAGAATGCTACTAACACACATGTCCAGCATCTCACGTCGCAGGGTGTAACTGCTGAGAAGTGGGCCGCAGCCGTCACCGAAGTAGTTGGCGGCAAATCGGGCGGTAAGGAGCCGACACGGCAAGGCCAGGGAACGAATGCAGACAAGATTGAGGATGCTGTCGCCGTCGCAGAGAAATGGCTTGCAGAGAAATTGAAAATCTGAAGCATTGAAGGTTCCATTTCACCTACCATGTATCGAGCTACATTACGTGTAGTTCGACAGACAAAGCTCAACAAATGAAGCCGAGACGGCATAAACGAGTGAAGCCCGGGAACTTCATGATTAGCTACTTGGAAAAAAAGGAGAAGAAAAAAACCGCTTTAAAGAGCGCTAGCTAGGGCTACGATAGGAAACCGCAAGGCTACGTAGAAAAAGAGTCTCTATTGGGATTCGGTGTTTTCTCCCTTATAAGTCTTGACTCATATGGTAACTCGTATGGGGGGAATGTATAAGCTGTTATAAGCCTACATGCATATGTACAAATAGAAGACGCTATACCTCAATCCAGTATAAATTTATTCGTGAAGTTGGTAACATTGTGCTACTTAATTAGGTTTATGATATTTAACGAGGCCGTCATCGTCTAATGTATACTTTTTTACGTATCGTGGTTGATTCAGCCAGCCATCAGATATAAGGCATATATACATGTATGTGCTATGTCATGCTATGACACGAGTCACTAACTAACATGACCTCTTCATCGCACTGTACCGCGACGCTCCTATTCTCATAATATGAAACATCTAGCATATCAACTAAACATCCAAGACAGCGCATCACACCGTGACCATAACACTAGCATTCCGATACCAACTTAACAACGGATTCTCTCCGCTGTGCGTTCTCGTATCCTCCACATACGCCCACGACCGCATAAACGCCTCGTGCCCCATAACCCGCGTTAGCTTCCCCGTCAAAGCGCGGTATACGGCCTCCATAACGTGGAAGTCCGTTGGGAATAATATATCGAAATACCCCTGGTGCACCAGCGGCGTCGACACGGGAACCATGCGGCGCTGGTACCGCGTCTGTACTACCGGCGCGTTGAGCCCGCGCACTGCGTCGGGTAGGGTGTGGAAATCGCTCGTTACTAGCCGGTGTGCGGGGAATGCGCGCTCTAGAATGTCGAAGAATTGCATTAGGCGTGTGGGGATGTACTCCGGGTCGCTGAGGTTGGGAGCGAGCGGTAGTTGCGTCTTGAGCCAGCGGGCACTGCGATTTGTGGGGTACGGAACACGGTACCGACCTCCTGTTGCGGCGTGCCGCACGCGTAGGAAACGAGCTGCGACAGGGTCGAGCACTGGCTCGTAGAACTCGTAGAAATCGCCGTGACCATCGATCAATACAGTTCCCTGGAGGGGCTCCTCGGTCCGCATGTCGTACCGCAGGACGTCGTGGGCGAAGTTGTCGAAGACCTCCATAGCTAAGAAAAAACAGGGGGACGGCACACGGGCGTCCCAGTCGAAAATGGATTTGTTGATAATCTCGACTTTGCTGGCGTGTCCGCGGGAAGCGGCTGTGGCGAGGAGTTGCGAGTTCTGGAGGGCGGCTAAGGACGACGAGATCTCGATGATCTTGTACTTGGTGCGGTCGTAGACGGTGGGCTCGATGTCCCGGATGTAGTCGAGGATGTTGAGCATAAGAGTGCCGCGGCCGGCGCCCATCTCGTAGATGATGAGGTCATGGTAAGGGTATGTCGTCATCAAGTAGTTGGATAGGAGGTAGCGAGCTATAGCCTCACCGTAATAAGGGCGGAATAGTTCGGTGGGGGTGTGCCAGAGCTGGCGGGTGTCGTCAGGGCGGCCCTCACTTTTATCCAGGGCGTCTTCGAATTCTGTATACCTCCGTCCTAGTTCATCGTGGAAGGTAGGCTCGTCGCGCAAAGAGTTGAAGTCGAAGGGCTCTCCGGGGCTGAAGATAACGACTTGCTTAGAGAAATAGCCGTAGTGGGGGTTGTATAAGCTATCTTCTATGAAGTCGCGCATGAGCATCTTAACTTTCCGTGGGCGTTCCCTTCGTGACCTTAGGTCATTCGCCGTCACCGTGGGATACGTCTTATATTCCTCCGACATATCCTCAGGGAATAACTCCGTCCTTTGTTGCCAATGGCTCTCCTTCTCAGACAACCCTTTTTTAGCTCCTCTAACCGTACTCCGGCTGGCCATGTGCCGCCTCTGCTGATGCTCGCACCGCTGTATTCTTCGGCCATGGTGGAGGCAAGACGACAATGCAGCAAGATTCCTCCTGAAAGGACAGGCCGGATGTCGAAATAGCTGGCGGAAGAGCTGGGCCACAATGGGGGAGTCCATGGCGTGGACTTTTGAGGTTGGCTGAGGTTCAGGTTTTAGCGCATCGCCGAAGCTTTTTCGAATAGTTGAAGTGGGTTCCACTTTTTAACCTACATACACTAGGTACTCCTACCCCCGTATATATAATATGTACCGAGGTACCTTCCATGCACACTTAAAAACCTTGTACATTATGTATATCGTAAGGTTCCCGACATGGCGTCACTTACGTATTTAGCCCTCTCAGCTTCTAAATGAGTAAGAAGTCACTTGATCAGAAATATAATTATCGTTAACTATCAATTTTATTATCCAAGTTAAAATGGGTTTGCTATGATAGAATCGGGAATTCAAAGCAGGCAGGACTACGAAGGAGGAAACAAAATAAGAAATATAAAAAAGAAATGTCTCTAAGCGACCACCCAAAGGCCTACGGCACTGCTGCCGTAGCCGTCGCATTCACCGCCGGGGTCTTCGTCACCCTTGGCTTCAAAGACCTGTACCCAGACTTAGAGCGGCGGTTTCAGCAGCGGGGTACACGGCGGATCCAACGCGGCGGCGGCGACACCCGCAGATCAAGTCTATTCTGGGGTGGTCCTGTCGAGCTCAAAGATCACGACTTACCAGAAACCGTGGTCCCACGCGATGATGGTGTTAGTGACGGTATTGAGGGGTGCATCGGGCGGACGCCGTTAATCCGGATTCATAGCCTCTCCGAAGCCACGGGGCGTACTATTTTAGCCAAGGCCGAGTTCCTCAACGGAGCTGGCAATAGTCCTAAGGATAGGGTCGCGCTTAATATGATCCAAGTTGCTGAGGAGGAAGGGTTTCTAAAGCCTGGGCGTGGTGATACTATTTATGAGGGTACCGTTGGAAGCACGGGCATTAGCATTGCGGCGCTGGCACGCGCCAAGGGATACCGCGCACATATTTGCATGCCAGATGACCAGGCTCGTGAGAAATCAGATCTATTACACCATTTAGGTGCGACAGTTGAGCGCGTTCCCGTGCAGCCTATTACATCTCCTGAGCACTTCGTGAACCTAGCACGGCGTCGGGCAGCAGACCACACAAACTCCAGCGCCGACTCCAGCGTCGGCTTCTTCGCAGACCAATTCGAGTCTCCCTCTAACTGGCAAGCGCACTTTAAAACCACCGGCCCAGAGATCTACGCGCAGACTCACGGACAAATCGACGCCTGGGTAGCAGGCGCCGGCACCGGGGGCACCATCTCGGGAGTAGCCAAGTACCTAAAAGAAGAAGCCAAGCTCAAAAAGCTAAAGGTAGTGCTAGCAGATCCGCAGGGCAGCGGGCTGTACAATAAGATCCGACATGGAGTCATGTACTCGTCTACGGAGAAAGAGGGCACACGGCGGCGACAGCAAGTCGATACGATAGTAGAGGGCGTAGGAATCAACCGGATCACGGAGAACTTCGAGGCCGGGCGGGACCTGATCGATACGGCGGTACGAGTAACGGACGAGCAAGCGTGTAAGATGGCACGGTGGTTAGTCGAAAACGACGGAATCTTCTGCGGCAGTAGTAGCGCCGTAAACTGTGTTGCTGCTGTTGTAACAGCGCTTTCGCTTCCTAAAGGTAGCCAAGTCGTCACTGTGCTATGCGATTCCGGAACGAGGCACTTGAGCAAGTTCTGGAAGCAGATTGCAGAGATGGGTCTGGAAGACGAGCCTAAGCCGGATAATTTATTGGCTCTACTAGGTATCGAGAAGCCAAGATGAGGGGGATATATCTATTTACGGTACCGCCCGATACGGGCCTAGGTTACAAAGTACATGGGATTACTAGCTTCTTGTTGGGCGAATTCCCGATCGATGTCATTGATCTATGGTACAACAGGTTGCCTAACATCTAAGCCACTTGGTATGGGGTAGATAGGGGGGAACATATTACGTTTGCAAACAAAGCCAGCCCTTGATCTCGGAACTGCGCTGAGTTGTTGAAAAAAAAAATATTTAAAAAATTTAACGTCTTCCAGCCTGGTCAACGAATAGAGTCCTTAACTCCACGCAAGCTCAAACTCAAACGCAACCAATCTCAAAAATAAAGCAACCTGGTCGTCGACCTAATCCGAGACGCCTGCCATGAGACACCTGCCATCTATGATGCCACGGCGCGTAATGCTTATGTACCTCATGCAATTTCATGAGAGACCGTATCCATGCTACGATTTGGAAAGACCAAACTAGGTAAAGATAGGTAGATAAGCCAAGACGTAGTGATCAAGAGAACTGCACAAAATAAGTTAGTACGCGTATCACTCGGAAAAAATACAAGTAGAAACATAGAAGCTCTAAACTTACCTTCCAACGCTTTCCGCAGTTCATACACTCACAGAAAGTCGTCATCGGTTCATCAGCACTGCGCGTCTGAGCCTGCGTGTAGCTGACCATCTTCTTTTTGCAGTTGCCGCACTCAAGGCTGTCGCTAATACTCTTTTCGACCATGGGGACCTGGGCCTTCTTCATATTTTCGAGCTCCAGCTCGGCGTCAGCCTTTCGCTGCTGGGCAGACATGAGCTCCTTGGAGGTCATGACGACGAAGCGCTCGGCGGCGATGGCTCCCGACATGACGTTGCGGCCCAGTTCGGCATTGGTCTTGACCTTGAGGTTCTGGAATAAAGACCTTATCTTTTCCTTATACTCCTTGGTCTCGCCCTTGTAGGCCTTAAAGGCGGCCTGCTCGACCTCGGCGGCGCGTGTGATAACGCTATCCTCAGACTCGCGAGAGCGGTACGCAAGGCCATTGTAGAGAAGCCCGATACAGTTGTCGCGGACCTGGGAGCCGGTGCGGTTGATGTCGACCTTGTCCGTCTTATAGTTGCGCTTTTCCAAATCACCCTCATAGGCCTTCTTGTTTCCCGCAAGGGGCTTCGGGGCAGGCGAAGCAGCTTTGGATGCAGGGGACACGGAACCCTTTGGTGCTTTGGCGGAATGCAGGCCCTTGGATTTCTTCTCCAACTCGATGCCTTTCTTCCACTTCGCAACCACTTCCGTCGCAATCTTGGCGATGTCCTTGTTCGCATTTCCTCGAAGCTTTCCTACCACAATACCCGCCTTAGTAGTCTAGTATATGTTAGTATTAGCGCAAGTAGTCGAGACAGATCAAATAGTGAATGGTATAGGGGGGGAATGGAGGGGCAAAATAAAGTAATAGAACGAATAGGTATATGACTTACGCGCAGCATTTCTTCGGTCGGCGAAGCAGATCTTAGGGACTCGATAATGCTAATGATAGCAGAAGCGGGCTCATTGGACTGAGCGGCCTTGTGAAGGGCCTTGACGCGCGCATCGAGTTCTCTCTGATCCATGATGGGCGAATTATGTGGTTTTCACGTATCGGTAAAATTGTAAAAAATAAGTAGGAATCGGCGGTGATGAGAAAGTATTCGCAGTCGAAATCGGCGACGAGGTGGGGAAAGGGTAGAGGTTCAACAAGAGGCCAATGCGGCTTAAGTAGCTATCAAAATCGGTTGGCGCAGTAGACCTTGTTGGTATGTGACGTATATGTGAGTAACTTTTCTTCCAAACGCTTGGAAGTTTGTGTGAGAGACCTCAAAAGGTCAAACGAACAAGGCTCCGGAAAAGAGAATGAAAATGTTAAGAATGAAGCTTCTTCAAAAGCCGTTCACGGGTCTCCTTGGGCAGCCGCAACCACCTGCACTGATAGAACCGACGCACAGACCACTTACTTTATAATATTCTGCCGGTGCTTAACCGGTCCAGTCGCAAGATTTAGTCTTATCGATATGTAAGTCTAAATCTCCGTTAGACGGATGGTAGTTATTAGGTACTTTCTTATCTCCGAGTTAAATTTTTGGTGTTACTTCATGTTATTTCAAATGCTTTAGCACGTGCTTCCTTTCCTCTTCATAAATCCCAACGTCAAGATTACTTCAGCTTAAATAGAGCTACGATATACTATATACTATTGTTAGAACCCAATATAGGAACAAATAAAAAAAATTAATTCGTTTTATTATATATTCTTACCCATTTTTGTATTAACATTTATATTTACTTCTATTTTCCAATATTTCAACAAAGCGAGCATGTACATGGTGGGAAACAATTCCTTTGCCATGCCAATAACTGTGAACCTATCTAAGACTATACTGCTTGTGTAACTTTTGTCCCGGGTGTCTCAGTAATCCCAGGATGAACCATTAACAGAATGAGGTAATAGTATTAACTGAATGTGTAACCCCTGACAGAATAATTCTGTACATAGAGAGGACAGAAATTAAGGCTACCAGCGGAACCAGAATGATAGGTATGGCTCGTAAAACTATTACGCAATCCCAGGTCCAGCTCTTCGTAACTAGTTACCCTTTAGCTAATACTATACACTTATTTGACATTGCTCTCTGACAATTAATTTAGGTGGCTATAGGTAAGAGTGTAATCATATACCTAGGAACTCTAAGCATATTTATTATTCCTCTATTTAACTTAATTTCTTACACTATCTCCCTTTCTTCTTCCGCGTAATAGCTACCTAGGCTGACTCAGGTACAGAAATTGATACGTTACTCGAGGTACCGAAAAATCTGCATATCGAACTATCAGGCGCCCTCTGATTTTCAATAACGAAAGTGGCAAATCAAAAAGCAGTACAAAAATATGAAGATAAAAAAGAAAGTCTTCATTGATGTCTATTCTCTCAAATACGGATAGCAAAATGACTAGCTAAATATTGGTAAGCTCCTCTCTGAAGAGTATCAAATTCATAGGGTCACCAAATTTGGTACATGCAAAGTCCCCTAACTACTCCAAATCACTTTACTATTCCAGAGGATAAGCCCTCGCGGTCCAACTCAATGAGTTTCTCCGGGAAAAAAACAGGCCTCTCAAAGGGCATTCCAAGAGTTTCAGGACAGAGAACAGCACACAAGATACTGCGGCTATAAGCCAAATATATCCGGGTACTCAAACTCGGCATCTGCAGCAGCAGCGTTGTCCTCCTCGAATAGATCGTTTAGTTGGTAGTCAAGATCACCGCCGTGATTATTCAAGAAATCCTGGATTATGTCGATTTCCTCGGAGTCTTGAGGGTCTTGAGGATCTTGGGGGGCTTCAGGGGCTTCAGGGGCTTCGGGGGCTTCGGGGGCCTGGGGGGTCTCGGCGGTTTCAGGGGCTTCGAGATCAAATGTACATTTCTCAGCCATAGTTGAAGTAACTAAACCAGCATCTTGGTTGGCAGGGTTCTGATCAACCTGAAAGTCATTTCCAGCGTCAAGTCCGAGGCCAGGTCCAGAGCTGTCCGTCGGAACCTGGTCTTGGCCGTAGCTCAATCCGACCTCGTCGGAGAAGAAGTTGCTGGTAATTTCGTTCAGGTAACTGTCCCAAGAGGGCTCCAGTTCCTGAACCGATCCGACCGACGCGCTTTGGTTTCCGTTATCGTTCATCAAGGTAGAGTCCTCCTTCGTATCAGTCTTACGCTTCTTCGAAGCCGGCTCGTTTGCCATCGGCTTGTATTCCTGTGCTCCGGTATGCCCCATATTTTCAGCAGGAATGCCCACATTCACTTCATCATTGGGTCGGGGTCGCTTGAGAGAAGTACCATGTGTGGGAGCTTCTAATGCCCGCGATGCTGAGTTCTGTCCCATCGGCGGCATCAGCCTCTTGATCCTATCAGCCGTCGGAATTGGCTGTGTCGAGGCTGGCTGTGTCGGGGCGGGTCGGGCAGTCTGAGGTATAATACCTCCCCCGCTTGCTCGGCTAACAGGCTGGTATCTGTTTGGAGTCGCTATCTGACTCACTTGGCCAGGAACCGGCCTGGCCGGTGTCCCCATATCCATGGCAGTGGGTCTGTTCTGTCCTGTATATGTACGTTGTTGGGTCATGCCTAAGGACTTTCTTTGCATTGCGATTTGGTTCTGGAAGTTCCTCGCTGCTTCATTCACCACAACATTGCGATTTACCCGTGTCATAGCGCCGTTACCATTTGTTCGGACCCCATCAGCAGCAACCGGCCTCGCTTTCGGCGACATAATTGCTTCCTGTCCAGCGCTAATCGTGGACCAAACGGCCTTCGGGACCGAGGAAGCAGGAGTGTTGCGTACTGTCGTGCTTTGCTGAACTCCCTCACGCATGCCGGCTCGTAGAGGTACTGACGGGGTGGCTAGAGGATGGGGGCTTTGCTGCTGAAGTAACGGGCCAAATTGTGATGGACGATGGTAAGTGATTGGAGTAGGAAGCGCAGTGGATGTGGCAATTGGTGTTCCATGGATACTGGCAGCTGATTCTGAGCCCTGATACGATTTCGTTCCCATGGGAACAGTAGCCAGATTCGGGTAAGGAGTTATAGGTGTCGGTAGGTTTGTGGGCGAAGTATCGCCGGGACCAGCTGGCTCCTCACTCACTTCCAAAAATCCCTTTCCACTACAATGGTGGCAAAGGACGCATTTGCTCTTTCTATTTTGTACAGCAGTTTGTGTCGGCTCTGGACGACTGGTCATAGCCTTCGAGACACGGTCCTTCGTAGGATCATGGTAGATGATGTTTCCTTTCGGGTTGCTAAAAGTATAAGTTAGTTATTTTATATTCTTTAACTTACACCCGCGTCATTGATAACTTACCCAAACTCCGCACTGCTGCCGAAGTGATCGGTGATGTACTTGATCTGAGCATATTTGACGGGGTTTCCAAAATTAGGAAATTTCTGGACAAACAGCTGAGCCGTCTCTTCGTACAGCGCCCTCTTCTTTCCTCGGGGAACTGGCTCCGTCGGAACTGTCCTCTCGAGGACAAACTCGATCATCTCATCAGTGTATCTGTAGCTCGTCATGGTGCCGACAATTTACTCTAGAATTTTGTGTTAACCGCGCGGATGAAATGTGAAATATAATTTTTTTATTGGTGGATAGGATGTCTATTTGAGATGACGAACACACCTTGATTGAAGAATAAATTTTGTTGTGGTCTGATTTAATTAGAAGAGGCTGGAGGTGGGAGTAGCAAGCAACGTTTTTGAGGTTTGTCTGTTAAGTGACTTCCGTCGGTACTTGCTGCTTTGTGGTGAAGAAAAGAGGAAGGAAAAGCGAAAACTCCTTGATTTTATACTTCTTTAAATAATAATCAATTTGTCTCCTCGGGTACGGTTTGGTATACTCGAGGGTGCTTGTCGAGGGTAGTTGTCGGGCGGAGAGTAGGTATGCAGATTGAATTGATAATCTGACTGGATAGAATCGGATGAATATCCCTAGTGGGGAAATAATAAAATAGAAGTTGAATGAATGATAGGTAATTTTAGAGGTAATTATCGTAGGTTGAAAAGCGGTGACGATTTTCTAGATTGGCGAGACTACGAGCTGAATCTTGAAGAATAGATGTATTTTCGACGCAAATTGTATTGTGAATACGTAGAAAATAGAGGGGAAATAGGTAGAATTTCCTTTAGAAACGTGAATGCGGATTTTAATTGTGTGCGAGTGGTTGGTGGTTGGCGGTTGCAAATATTTTTAAGGAATCAATTGCACGAGTACCTGAGGAAGTGTTAAACCCCCCCCGTACCTGACAACGTTCAAACAATGTCACAAGTCGAGATAGCAACAATCTACGGACCTACCCCTCATATCTAAATTAATAAATTCAACGCATTTTGAAAGGTATGGCTATATCGGTTATGCTACAAATCTCCACGACTCTATTTCTATAATATAGAGACAAACCATCTAAATTATATTTTCTATTCTCTAATAGCAATTAGGTATCTATGATATGAAAAAAATTACTATTTTATTGGATCCAAATATCAAGAATAGAAGAACGCCACTTAATATAAACATATTTACTGGTATGTTTAGTAGAGTCATAACCTTGCGATATTTGTAGTAGTAAGAGTTTATGTAATCAATAATTAGGGGCAGTAGTAAACGAATTAAAATGATATCTGAGTGAATATAACAGCCAGCCTAGCTAGCGCATAATTGCTATGGGGAGTAATCCTTCATATATATAAAGCAACCATTCGTATAAAAGATATCAGGTAGGTAAGGAGCCATAACAAGTGAATGGGTAATCACGCCAGCTAGCTACTAGTAATAATACCTATCTAGGATAGTTTCCTCGAGACGTAATGCCTTTGGAGAGTGTTGTAGTCACAGATAGTTGTAGATGATAGATGTTTATAAGGTAAAGTGACTGGAGATTACATCTTCAATCTCTCGCTTGAATTATCTATTTTCTCTAATAGGAGGGACCAATGGTAAGAATTATGTAATCTCTGAAATATTGTTAGATATCTACGAGGAGGCTATTTAAAATAATAGGTAACCTAGGTAGCTAATTAGATAATATCGTAGCTGTCACTCAAGCTTTACGCCCCTTTAGGGGGTCATATTAGTCACGTGACTTAATCACATCCAATAGGATCGCTAGAGTATATATATTATATATTTTCCCGGGGACAATACAAAAATGTTATAAGTGGATTTTATTTAATTTTATTTAATTTTCGTTAATATTGAACTAAGTTGGGAGAATATCATGATCCCGATAGGAACTGGGAGTAAATGGAGTGAAAAGAGAAAACTGACAGGCATAATTCGTGAAGTAATTCGAACAGGATTGGGTTAGCCTCGAGTCCAGGTAATAACTACCTATTATAGATACATAGGCATATAAAAAGCAATAGTTCAACAACTAGTTGGCTTCAAGGTTCCTAGTCGTATAAAATTTATGAGGATAAATTTCAAGTTTATAGCTTTGCCTTGGTTATTTTCGGATCTCTCCGTATATCCTTCACCTCCTTAAAATCCATTGTCTGACCAACCCTCCAGCTAATGTCTGCCGCCGCCGCATCGCTCCCCTCTTTCCATCGCCACCGCGCGTTTTCTTGACGTCCTGTCTCCAATACATTCTTCACCCACTTCCCAACAATTGGTAGCATCTTGAACGCATGTGCCGAGTCCCCTGTAACTACGACTAATCCCTTCTTCCCTGGCACAAAGTCAATCACATACTCGCTATCTGCTGTGTCTGCACACCAACACACCCGTCTTCTGATCAACGGTTTGTCCGCTAGCCCAGGCAGTGTCTCTCGCAGCAGCCGCCTTATCATGGCTTCGTCGACGGCGGGGATAAATTCGTTGTCGTCTGGCGGGAGGGACAGCCCGGACGATGTATCGTAATTGGTATACCCCGCCATAGAAGGGCAGATCTTCAGGAGATTAGTACGGCGGTCCGGCTCGAAGAAGAATCCCAAGTCTCGCGCATACGTCACGGGGATGCCGCGCAGCCGCGCCGCTTCTTCGGGAGTGAGCTGTATATGGGCTAGAGGTGAGGCTTTGGCGACCACCTGTCTCTTAATCTGAGGCAAGATCGAGCCAAGCGATGCTCCGAGTGCTAGGACTATCATAGAGGCGCTGTAGTGCTTGCCAGCGGCGGTGATCGCACCTGTGCAGATATCCCCCGAGTATGTTAGGGCTTGGGCCGTCGAGTTAAGGTGGATTTTCACGCCCAGCGCAATACATGCTGAGTATACAGCCATTAAGGAATCAGCTGCAGAGGCATATCCGGCGAAACTATTGAAGTAACCCTTCCATTGCATGGGGCCGCTGAAGGCAGGGGCAACTTTGTGGATATCATCCCGCGAGATGACAGGTGTGATTTTATTCTTAAACGCTGGATGCTGGCTGATGGAGTCAAGCGCCTTCTGGAGAGATTTCTTAGATTTCTCAGGGGCAGCAGCCGAATTGCAGAGCAAGTAACCTGTCTCGTGATAGTACGGCGCGAATAGGGGAGATTTCCAGGCAGCCATAGCCTCAAGAGCTAGCTCGGCGTAGAAGGGGTCTTCATACTCGGCGCGTAAGATTTTATTTAGGTCATTACCGGCGGAGAGCTCTGGAGGGAAGGTAGAAGATTTCTCGAGTATAGTTATGTTGGTGTAACCGGCCTTGGCGAGATGATAGGCTGTTGATAGACCAAAAGTGCCGGCACCTAGTAAGAGGATTGAAGTTTGCTTATCCATCTCTATAACTAGTAGCAATGTTTAAGTAGCGATATGGTTCCAAAGATATCATTTAGGAATTCATATTGAAATATTCCCTTCTTTTACTCTTATTTTGTCGATGAGGAGCAATCCATCTGCCTTCTATCGGTGCGGTTTCGGGAGACCTTCTGACGACCTCGGACATTTTTACGTATAGTTAGTCATCTAATAGTTTGTACTACACACCTTGGGATCCTGATGTTAATAAATCGACTATTAAGATGAACTAATTCAAGGTTTCGTCATTATACACTTGCGATTGGTATGTAGAATAGAGGTAACGGCAAGCGACGTGCATCTGCCAAGATATAATATCGTGGGGAAGTGGAGATTTATATTAATTGGAGAAAATGAAGACACAGTGCGACGAGGTAGAACTAGGTATACTAGGACTACTCGGTTGGGGTAAGAAAATGCCGACGGGAATGCCAGGGGTAGGTGTAACCTTACACGAGAATAATAATCAAGATTAGTTATCGCCGTTATCTTCACCTTAACACTTCCACATATCCACTAGTACGGTGGACTATTAGTCCAACTGTGCCAAAATCAAGAAAATGGGTGGGAGCTGTCCAAAAAGGGTAATTTAGTAAGCAACGCTAGGTGCACAGTATCCTGAAATACCTGAAATTAAGATTTTCTATTATTTTATTTTTTATTATATAGTTATCATATATATACGTACATACGATACGACTTATACACCAAAATAACTTTACGAATATCTTGTTTCAAAGATTATAATTGGTATTATTTTATAGCCTTAATTAATGCGAAAATAACAATCCAAGTTGCATGTTTGTAAGATACGTATTGGATAGTTGGCTTGTTGTTGAAATATTTGTGGCCTTTTTAAGATGTTAGTCTTGAAGGGTATCACGTGTTATCCTCTCGACACAACACCTACTTGATATTAATACTAGTATAATATGCCTGTTTGAAGACATATAAGGATGCAACTTGAATAGTTATTTTCGCATTAATTAAGGCTACAAAATGATACCAATTATAATCTTTAAAATAGGATATTCGCGAAGTTATTACAGTGTATAAGTTGTATCCTGTATATTTACGTATTTGTATATATTTAAGGTTAAAGTAAAGGTTGAATCTTATTGGGGAAAGGGAAAGTAGCCTGCAATGTATTGAATAATGCTTATATTTTTGAATATCTTTACGAATTCAAGGTCGAGTTATATAAGACCTGGGTTGAAATTTTTGTCTTTTTTTAATAAAAATACCAATACTAATTTTAAGTAATTCGAACCTATATTAGTAAAGTTATCCCCATATAAAAGGTATGTATTACCTTATAAATTGTGTATATAGTAGAAATAGCCGAACTTATACTGTAATCTTAATGTTACTATTACCTTATTTGATATAGTGCGACTGACTTTTTTGATTTTGGCACAGTTGGACTAATAGTCCACCGTAACTAGGTTAGGTAGTCTGATAACAAACGATGCAGTCCGAATTGGAGAACAACGGTATCTACCTATGTACCTAACCTACTACCTACCTAAGATACCTACATAGGTACCTAAGGTAGTGTAAAGTCGGGATCGAAACATGAGTGGAGTAACGTTGATGGATTGCCCCGACTTTACGACTCCTCTTCTAAGTCCTAACAGATAGTTTAGGTCTTGTCGTTGTGAGATACCCGCAAATTCAAAGTATACAGCAAGGTGACGACGATATATGCATCATAATTACCTACTGTAATCAATCTCACATAGCTACCACTATTGGCCCCTGTCTACATCAGAGGAGAATGGCGTCCAGTACGAAGAAAGAGCTGCGAACACGGAGTGGTTGTCGGAAGTGTCGAGGTGAGAGATACCACCCTTTTCACTGTTCCCATGGCCAGAAACCCCTGACATATTTCTTTAGAGAGACGTGTTAAGTGCCCAGAGCAGCACCCCATATGTGGACACTGTAGAAGACTGGGTTTCACTTGTCGGTACGAGGTTAAATTAAGCTGGCAACATGTCATCTTGTTTGAGGAGTACGACAGCCATGTTCCACGGGGATTACCTGAAGACCTCTTATTCTCTATTGAAAGTTGGATGTTCCTGAATACAGTTCAGGCCGACTTCAATTCACACGATGCTCAAACAGGCCTCAAGGACCAAGTAGATTCCCTTTCGACCCGGGCTAAAAACATCCAACCCGAGGTAGACATATTTGCACTATACCCTCACTACCTTTCTCCATTTCGTATAGGAAAAGCCGAGAGTTATCTATGGAGTTACTTCAACGACTGTATGACTCCACAGATAGTCATAGACCCCAGCTTCAACCCGTATAGAGATATTATTTTAAGGATGGCAACTTATTCCCAAAATGGTCCTCTATTCCATTGCGTGTTAGCTGCTGCAGCAAATCAGTTGCAGAGTACTGGCCGCAACGAATATGAAAATGTCATGTGGCTTCACAGAGCCAAGGCGTTACGCCTCCTGAGGACCTCTATTAGTCACTTAGCTTTGGAAGAAGCATACGAAATGAGTTGTGATACTTCTAAAGATCAGGTCATTGCATCGACTCTCATGTTAACCTTCTTCGAAGTAAGTGATAAATGTAGTAATTTGTTATAATAATTATACGATGCTAATTTATTGGAGAAGATTTCAAAGGACTGTTCCGATTCATGGACTGTGCATGCCGACTTTGCGCGTAGTTTTCTCTCTTCTCGCCTGAGAGACCGTGATAGTCTGAATACAGAGCAGGAGGCCCTGCTCTATTTTGCCGTGACCTACTTCGTTTCGCACGATATCCTGGCGGCAACTGGGGGCACGCTTATGGAAGCGACTGAAATGGTTACTGGAATGTGCAAATCGGTGGATAAGTCAACCATCCTGGCGCTGACTGGTTGTTCAAGAGACCTGCTCATCCTGATTTCCGAGATTAACCAGATGAGTTCTCTGGTTGGAGAGTCGGATCGGAAGCAACTTCCATCCTTGATACAACAACGTCGAGACAATGTCGAGAGGCTTCTTCACCAATTGCACCAAGATGTTCCTGAAGAATTTGGTTCATTTCAGTCTGAGTTTGCTATCGTTGCTGAGGTAAAGCGACTAGCAGCTATTTTATATCTCTATTCGAGAATCGATAGCGCCGGGCCGCATGAACCACATATGGTCCGAGTGACGTCCCAGATCCTATCCCTTATCCCTAAAATTTCCCTCCGTACCCATACGGGTCTTTGGCCTCTATTCATAGTAGCTACACTAGGCATCCGCCCGGAATGCGATGAAGATAGGAAGTTTCTCTTGGGTCAACTCGCTGCGCTTCAACAAACGAGGCAACTGGCGAGCGTGAAGAAAGCCAGATTGATCATCGAAGACGTATGGAAATCTCGAGACCTGCGGCCCAATGAATCACGAGGGTGGAGCATTTTACAAGGGAGGAGACACGGTGCCATCAGCTTGGCATAATTTATTGCTATGTATAGCTAACCACCTAGTTTAAGAGAGCACTCTTACACAAACCCAGAACTTGACGAGCCACTTCATTACCAACATGTCCGGACCTCAAAAACCATCCCTCAGCCTCAACTAGACACTACTAGGGAGATCTAGGTGGTATACCGGAATTCGCGCTGTTTCTTATCTGTGATATCGACGAAGCCCTCGTTGGTACCTTCGTGAACCCCCTCTGGCTTGCCATACTTACGGTCCCTGTGCTTATTCTCCCAGGATCCAACAAGCCAGTATGCCATAAGAATCAGCATGCAGGCGCAGTAGCTAACTAACATGGCTATTACGCTGGTAGCGTACTTGGGTGCTTCGTTGCTTCTGAAGGTCTGGGGACCAATGAGATTTCCTGCAGCATATCCTATTGTCGCAAGACTATATGTCACCGCCTTTTTAGTCACTGGGATTTCGCATGTTAGCGTATAACTCCGCATAATGGTATTTATCCACGTCAGGATTCGGTTAATGGATTTAGGGGTGATCACTTACTACCAGCGGTGTTTGCTTGAATAAGGGATATAGCAACAACGTAGGGCGCTATAATTATCAGTAAGTATAACCCACAGGAACGCATCAAGTACGGAACTTACGCCAGTAGAAATACATAAAATATAGTCCCACCATTTGGCCAGGGATATTTGTTCGCGGCAATCCATATACCAAGGCTGTTCCGAAGATGGGGAGTAGCAAGGCCAGAGCTGCAGTTAGAGCCCGCCGGTTATGCCATTTTGCAGCGATATATGAGAAACCCCAAGCACCACCCGTAGCTAAGACGCCGAATGGCATCGTCAAGAGACTTGATACCAAGGGGCTGTAACCCAAGTTGTTGATAATGATCGATCCGAAGGCTTGGAGGCCGCCATTAGGGATGTTGATAACAATATTGAACAAGACAATAAGCCAAACTTTAACATCAGTAAGAGCTTCCCAAACCTGGTCCCACTTCCATACCCTGTTGGCGATGCCGGTTCGATTCGCAGCTAGCCGCTGTGTGGCGTGATATCTTTGCTCCGGAGTGAGGAAAAAAGCATTCATGGGACTGTCAGGTAGAACAAACCACAAAAAGACCGAATATATTACGTTGATCGAGCCGGTGAGAAGATAAAGGTACTGCCATTTCAGTAACGGAGCATCGTCGGGGATATATCCTATAACCCAAGCGAAGAAGCCGTTGAATATTGACGAGAAGTATGCAAAGATGACTGAAGAGTTAGAAACATTGGCTATTTTAGAGGGGCTCGATACTTACTTCCATTCCTCGGAGGCTGCTCTTCCTTCTTATAGAAAGATGCGACGAGTACCGTGAAGCAAGGAGTCGAGACTGCTTCGAGGAATCCCAACAAGAAGCGCAAACCCATAAACCCAGACCACGTTCTGCACGGTGCATACATGAGGGTGCAGATGGACCACAGTAGGGAACCAGTTGCCAGCAATTTTCCTGGAGGAAATCGCTGGATCAGATAGGAGGTTACTAGCAAGCCAACTAGTGTACCTAATGGTAGAATACTGCCCAACCAGCTGTATTGCTGGCCCACCATGCCATTGTCCTTTTGAAATCCGTATAGAGAAGCTGTTCCTATTTCCACTTTATCGACGGCAGATAGGGTCGCACAGAATACTAGCTATAGGGAATAACGTCAACGTGAATTTCTACTAGAATATTGACCTTAAGGGGTATTTGCTCTCGTCGAATAGGACATACCAAAGGAATCATCCAAGCATCAATCTTTTTCACAATCTTTTTCTCCTGCTCAGGAGTCATGGGCCCGAATTCTTCATGATTAGCTAGATATTTTGCTGCCTCATCCAAAGCTCGGTCGTCGACTGTCTTTGTGGTCTCGCCGGCCACGGCCGAAGTGACTGGCTGAATAGACTCGTCCCTCTTAAAGTCTAGAGACATTATGTCGAATGATAAGTAGAGTTGAGATGAATAATGCTGCTAGGTCTATTTTCAAAAGCTGCAGATATCTAATGCATATCCACTCCAAAAATATCCGATTCATTTCCAAGGCTTTATAGATGAGGTGAGCCTACGACTCCCCTCGACTGGTACTTGGAGCTTATCAGTCCAGGATTGGTGTCGCCAAATCCTAGATAGGCTCTGGGCTTGAGCTACAGATTCCTTGTATGACTCCACATCTCTCTCTCTCTCTCTCTCTCTCTCCTCGCAGCCGTTGCTTTTATTAGCTATCGAGAATCTTTAGCACTAAAAAGGAACCTCCCCCTGTCCTATATTCGTCGGGATGAGTTAAGTCACTTCTAACCCACCTAAACCAAAAGTGGAATCCTATCCTACCCTAAAATCAATCCAGTTTTGTCCTAATCTACTAGCAATATATTATCAATGGGGTGACTATTTCGGGAGAATTCTTCAAATATGATTGGTCAAGCCCGTATCGGAAGTGACCTGTCATTCGGACTAAAAATCCGGGAGGAAGCTCGAATCGACGAGCGTCTGTGTCCAAAGCCTAGTATCAACTATTTGCGCCGCACTGTGCTTATAATCGTGGAGAAACTATTTGTTGGATTAAAGATTGAAGATCCACTAACTAGCTGGGGATCATGGAGTTGATATTGGAGATCTTTAATACATGTAGAGTAACCGAGTAACCTATCGAGATTCCCCCCCAAAAAATACCATAATGCATAGTCCAGCTAGAATCCGTCAGCTGATATGTCGAAAACTCCAAGGCAATTCGAAACGACGGTACAAATTATTGGAGTCTTTTCACTAGACGTCAACTCGCTTCCGGTGCCGGACCATATTCGATTCTCCGTCATGATGGTGTAGATATATATCAATCCGAGCTCCCTCGAGCTTATCAGAATCCATGTATTCGTTATACAGAGTCATTCACCAATCTCATATATACCCCTAGCCAAAATGGCCGTCGGATCTATCCCCACGGCAGTGCAGTCAAAAAGCGTGAAATTCGCTATCGGTTAGTTAAACTACATGTGTACCTATGTTTCTTTTAAGATTTATAGTTAACTTCTCTCGTAAGACCGAGGTGGTACATTCACAGATGTCTTCGCTGCTGTACCGGGGCGAGAAGACATAGTTCTTAAGCTTCTATCCGTCGACCCCAGTAGTTATGATGATGCACCAGCAGAAGGTATTCGCCGAGTCCTAGAGACTATCTCCGGCAAGTCGATTCCCAGAGGAGCTCCAATTCCCAAGGACCTGATCCATTCTATTCGAATGGGAACAACAGTCGCTACAAATGGTGAGTCCTAAGACCATTTTATCTAGATCTGAAATACTCATTTTCTATAGCGTTGTTGGAACGAAAAGGAACAAGACATGCGTTCGTTGTCAATCAAGGCTTCGGCGACTTATTAGAAATTGGGTACCAGTCTAGACCAAAGTTGTTTGAGCTTGGTATAAAAAAGCCGGAGTTACTTTACGAGACAGTAGTTGAGGTATCTGAGCGCATCACAGTTGAAGAATTCGACGAAGATGTCGCAAGAGATAGTCGCCCGCCACTCCAGGAGATCCCTGGTGTCCTAGTAAAAGGTATCACCGGCGATATATTGCGTATCATCCGTCCCTTGAATGAAACAGAAGTACGAGAAAAGCTAGCAAAGATCAAAGCAGAAGGTATAGAGACACTTGCTATTTGCTTAGCGCACTCGTATCTCTACCCGAACCACGAGAATCGTATCGCGGAAATCGCCAAGGAGATGGGCTTTTCTCACATCTCGACATCTTCTTCAGTCGGTGCGAATATGATCAAGATGATCTCGCGTGGCAGCTCTGCTTCTGCTGACGCATACCTCACACCAGAGATTATCCGCTACGTATCTGGCTTCGCAAAGGTCTTTGCTGACGGGAACCTCGACGGCGTCTCGTGCGAGTTTATGCAATCAGATGGTGGGCTGGTAAGCCACAAGAACTTCAACGGATTAAAAGGCATTCTTAGTGGTCCTGCTGGAGGCGTAGTTGGCCATGCTAGAACGTCGTTTGATGGAACCTCTCCAATCGTCGGCTTCGACATGGGTGGTACGAGTACGGATGTCTCTCGTTATGGAGGCTCTTTCGAGCACATTTTCGAGACGACGACTGCTGGAGTCTCAATCCAATCCCCGCAACTCGATATTAACACGGTGGCTGCTGGTGGCGGTTCTATGTTATTCTGGAGAGATGGGTTATTCAAAGTCGGACCTGATAGCGCAGGCGCTCACCCAGGACCGGCTTCGTATCGGAAAGGAGGACCACTTACGGTATGTCATATTCCACGTTACATCGTATTTCTAGTCTCATATAGGATCACTTTCCTGGGGAGTGTAAACTAAATTCTGATTTCATTAAAACACTGAAACCCTCAATTTATTTGGATATAAGAATAATCACTAATGATTAACTCAGGTTACTGACGCAAACCTATTCCTCGGGCGATTAATACCCGATTATTTCCCTAAGATCTTCGGTCCAAGTGAGGATCTTTCACTTGATATCGATATCGTGGTGCAGAAGTTCGAGGAGCTCACAGCACAGATAAATGCGGACACTGGACGTTCGATGACCCCTCTCGAGGTTGCTCACGGCTTTATCGACGTAGCAAATGAGTCTATGAGCCGCCCTATTCGTGCGCTTACAGAGGCAAAAGGCTTCGAAACCCAGCAACACGCACTTGCAACTTTTGGCGGTGCCGGCGGCCAACATGCTTGTGAAATTGCAAAGAAGTTGGGTATCAAAAGGATAGTGATCCACAAATACTCTAGTATTCTTTCGGCGTACGGTATGGCGTTGGCGGAAGTTGTTCAGGAGGCACAAGAGCCGAGCTCTGAAATTTTGTCCGAAGAATCCCTAGGTCGGCTGATGGTCCGGATGCAGGACCTCAAAGCGAAGGTTACCGAAGGGCTCCTTGTCCAAGGAATTCAAGAAACGGCTATCGAACATGAACAGTACCTAAACTTGAGGTATCAAGGCACTGATACTAATTTCATGATATTGGCTCCTGTTGATGGGGACTGGCGAGTGGCACTCGAAAAGGAACATCTAAGAGAGCTATCATTCGTTTTCCCTCATGATAAGAAAGTCCACATTGACGACGTGCGAGTTCGGGGTGTTGGAAAAAGCACTGAAGTTAGCCATGACAACTCAAAGCTGGTGAAGGAGTTGAAGTCTAATTTCTCAGAAGTTAAGGGGGGTGAAGACAGAACAGTAAGGTCACCCATACAACCCTGGATTCAGCATCGAAATCAATATCTATCGATGTATCGTTCTACATATTACTAACATCTCATAGACGCAAGCCTACTTTGCAGAAGGCGGACTGCAACCAACGAAAGTCTTCCGACTCAATTCAATAGTTCCGGGTAGCATTGTAACCGGTCCGGCAATAATCATCGACAACACCCAAACTATAGTAGTCGTTCCAGGATCCCAAGCACGAGTCCTGACTTCTCACGTTGTCATCAACCTAATTGATGAAAAGCCCCAGCAGTCCCAAGAAGAGCAGGAGCTAGTAGTTGATCCTATCAAGCTCAGCATCTTTGGACACCGATTCATGAGCATCGCGGAGCAGATGGGAAGGGCACTTCAAAAGACTAGTGTTTCTATCAATATCAAGGAACGGTTGGATTTTTCATGCGCCATCTTCAGCCCGGATGGCCAACTCGTTGCTAATGCGCCTCATGTTCCCGTTCATTTGGGAAGCATGTCGTATGCCGTTAAGTATCAACATAATCTCCATAAAGGCAATCTCCGCCCGGGAGACGTGCTAGTTACTAACCATCCGGAGGCTGGCGGTACTCACCTTCCAGGTAAGATTCACAATATTTGTGATCGTTTGATTATTCTAACAACGGGTAGATATTACTGTCATCACTCCTGTGTTCGATACAGATGGGGAGACAATTTGCTTCTACACAGCCTCGCGTGGTCATCATCTAGATATTGGTGGGTACCGTGGAAATTCTATGCCACCGTAAGTGAAATTATACTGAATTGGTTTAATCTAGAATTGCTGACACCTAGATAGCGACTCAACCGAGCTATGGCAAGAAGGCGCTGCTATCAAGTCTTTCTTCCTGGTCCGTGATAACTATTTCGATGAAGATGGCATTGTTAAGATCCTCCTTGAGCCTGGGAAATATCCCAATTCTAGCGGCTCGAGACGATTGCCTGACAACTTGTAAGTTCTCTATACTTCACATACAAACGGTATAATATTGAAATGAATGCGATTCTACTTTTAGTATCGTGGATTTCATCAGCCTAAGAGCTAACCCTTAACTATAGGTCAGACCTCAAGGCACAAGTGGCCGCAAACACTAAAGGAAGCAATCTCATCAAGGCCTTAATGGAAGAATATGGCAAACACACTGTCCATTTTTACATGACCAAGATCCAAGAAAACGCTGAGGTCTCCGTTCGCAACTATCTCAAGTCAGCATACAAGAGATACGGATCAAAGCCGCTCAAGGCAAAGCAATTCTTAGATAATGGGTCTATGATGAAAGTCTCAATAACCATCGACGAGAGCGGATTCGGCACCTTCGATTTCACGGGCACGTCCTGCGAGATGTTATCAAATATGAACGCGCCTCCGGCTATTACTTACTCGGCGTTAATCTACACCCTCCGACTCCTGATCGGTTCTGATATCCCGCTAAATCAGGGATGTCTTGCACCCACCAAAGTCATCCTTCCGAAAAATTGCTTCCTGAACCCTTCGTCTGGACCAGCTGTCTGCTGCGGAAACACCCTTACTTCGCAACGGTTAGTCGATCTCCTTCTCAACGCCTTCCGCGCAGCATCCGGATCCCAGGGCTGCATGAATTGCTTCGGCTTCTTCGGCAACTGCCACACCGACTCAGGAGAGACGCAATCCGGATTTGGATTCAGCTACGGAGAGACGATCTGCGGCGGCGAGGGTGCAGGTCCGACGTGGCACGGCGCGTCGGCTGTACAGATACACATGACCAACACGCGGACTACCGATGTTGAAATCATCGAGAAACGGTACCCTGTTCTAGTGCGTGAGTTCTCGATCCGGAAAGGGAGTGGCGGCCGCGGGAAATTCAACGGTGGATGTGGCATCGTCCGGGATTGGGAGTGTCGCCATCCGCTTACGTTTGGCCTGATCACGGAGCGTAGAGTCCATAGGCCGTATGCGATGATGGGCGGTGAGCCAGGCGCATGCGGTGCGAATTACTGGGTCCAGAGGCTGGAGGATGGGAGTGAGCGGTGGATAAATATTGGGTCGAGGGGGCAGGTTGATATGAAGGGGGGGGATAGGTGTGTTATACATACCCCTGGAGGAGGTGGCTGGGGTGTACCGGAGGGTGTTGGGGAGGAGGAAGATGATGATTGGGTTGATGGGGGTATTGGAGTGGTGAATGGGATAAGCGGGACTAATGGGGAGGTTAAAGTTGTGTATCCGAGAGCGGCGGGAAGCTTTCACTCGTTTGCGGCAGCGCAAGAGGCGTCGTCTTGAGTTATGGACAACTCATGATTATGGATATTTGAGAGTTGATACATGTCGTATATACTTTTAGTCAGGTAGTGTGAGGATCGGGTAGGAAATATTACTATCATAGTATCTTATCTTGCCCCCTTGCATTGATGTTTCGAGAAAACTAGGGAGCGATATTCCCTAGTATACGTTATATTATCCCTTTCTATCTGTCTATCGAGTCTCTATCGAGTCTCTATCAAGTCTCTATAATCATATACGTACAGGTTCAACCTCAGGGTGGAGTAGGCTTGCTACTAGTTGCTGTTACTGTCTCCCAAAAACAGCCCACCAGCATTCTATTCCCGAATCCTCACCGTCTTCATCCCAGTCATCTTGGCCAACTAAGGTGTGCTGCTCTAGCACGCTTAGCCCAGAAACAATCATAATAGACAAGAATTTTGCGACTAGTTTCTTGGTGGTCAAGTCTCGCTGAGGTACCATCACAATGGCCCTAGCATCTTTGTCTTGGGCTAGGTGCGCAACTATCGCAGACGATAGGAGCTCTGGGTGGTCGTCATCGTATAGAGGATCTGCAGCAAGAACAATCTATAACAAATTAGTTATTAGGATTATATAGGGGCTAGGATTAGTTTACTTTGAATTGGTTCTTGGAATTAAATCGCTCGGTGTTGCCGTCTTCAGAGCCCCAAATTAAAACACCCGGATCAACTTTCCCTCCTAGGGCCTTAATAGTAGATCTATTCCTCTCGATGTTGAAGGCTAGGTTAGGTACGATAGTTGGGAGGTCAGTCAAAACTACGTTGGTTTGCCAAATGGCAGCAGCAGCCATACCCAAGAGCCCTGTTCCCGAACCCAATTCTAGAACATCTAGGGATTCATTCGAACGTCTTAAGTTAAGTATATGGGAGAGGGATTCTTTCGCAATACCGCCTAGCGACTGTGCGAGCAGATATGAAGACCCCCAGGTTTTCAAGCCGAGGGAGTCGCCGGTAATGGGAGGCTCCCGGATGACCAGCTCGAAAGGAGATGGTCCTTGAGCTTCAAGAGGCCATCTTCGCGTGATCTCACCCATCCCCGCTCTACCGCAGCGTTCTGCAAGGCGCCGGCTTGCCTCATCCCACACCGCTTCTTTCTCGTCTTCGTCCTGGATCCACGCAAGACTACTCTTGATTATGCTAGACAGATATGCAGCAACTTCACGGCGGAGCTGGGCAGCGTTTTGGCAGCTCTCTAGTATAACTTTTCTAGAAGTACCGGGATTCCAGATCGGAGGTTCAACCTAGTTCAGAGTGAGCTTTCGCTAGTCTCTTGGGCAGACGTTGCCAGTCGTCAGTTTTACCTGAAGCTGTTTGAGAGCTGCCAGCAGTTCCTCGGACGAGGGCTTCTGCCAGGTCTGGGGAAAATCTGCTACGCAGATCGACATTCTATTCTATTGATCGTGGAGGATACCGTCTAGTTATAGGATTCTAGAAAGAAAAAAGACACGAGGAGAAAACGAACTAACTAGGTAAAGCAACAACGTAAGAAAATAAATGACTCGACCCTGTCACCTAAGGAAAGACATTATTATGATGGTTCTATGAAGATCGTTAGTTGACATAGTCTATAAAATTTAGTTTTCTATCGTCTAGGAGAAGTAATAGGAGGATGAGCAAAATTTCGACCATGTACCAGTAAAGGCATATAATGGACGAGTCTGGCCAGAATAACATAACTACTAATTAAGGACAAACGGGGGTTTTTTTATTAAAAAAAAACAAAAGAAAAGAAAAAAAAGGATAAGCCACGTCTGGACCCCTAAATAATTTTTAGCCAATAAGGTTAAGGGCATGTTCTTATGAGTCAAGAGCTTAAATTAGCTTAGAGGTACCTAGGTACAATATATGAAGGTTGGATTACCTAATTCTTGCTTAATTTTAATTGGCTAGCTTTTAGCTTTATCGATAAGCCCACCATAATTTTGCTATGACTCGAAAAAGCAGCCCGCCGAAATTCATTCTTGCTTCTTTCTTTTCCTCAAGCATCGCCCTCACCAACGCTGCGTTTCTGAGCTACAAAACAGAGAAGCCGCGCGAGCTGCTTCTCATCAGGTTCTGTATTCAGACCGATATTCATCTGCTCATGAGAAATTCGGAGTATTCTTCATCACCACCTCGTCGCCCGCCCAGTTGTGGGATCGACAGGTCTGCCCGCGAGGGTCTGGCGTGATGGTTTTATTATTACACGTCTGCAAGACTGGCATCAGAGACGCAGGGCCCTTCGCCCCGTGTATATCCGCAAGGAGAAGACGGGGGAGTTGTGGTTCCTATGGGAGAGCCGTTGCGGAGATTGTGTGTGAGAACACTTGAGTGCGATACGCAGCGTGGGATTGTCTGTTTCTTTCGGGAGACGGGCGCCTACAATTCGATTCCGATTACTCTGGTGAGGGCGATGCTTCACTCTTTTTTTCTTCAAGGTTAGTCTTCGTACTAGTGCTAATGTCGCATTCCCCTAAGTTGAGGATACTGCTAACGATACATCATATTATCATCAAGAAATAATCGCAGCAACAGAACAGAATTAAGAGGCATTTCTACTATTCGTCTAGATCTATCCTAACGTAACACTTGGACCCCCGTCATCATTATCCTCACCATATGTTTCTTGATCGGGTATTTCCTGCTCCTGATGTGTTGGTTCGCCTGCGACCGAACCGTTATCTTCGCCTTCGCATGAGGTCTTCATAGTCTCCCTCTTATCAAACCGATGTAGAACCTTCGCATCCGGATTTTTTGAGTCTACCAGCTTCTCCAAGTCCGACGCCTGCGTGACAAGATCTACACAAGCAATATTACTAAACATGGACTTCCCAGCCAATAGTAGAATGCGATCTCCAGTTACCTGAATCTTCTCTAAGGCGAGGTGCCGAGGATCATGATCAGAGGGGCTGCCCAGCGGATGAGATTGAATGAATGCCTTTGCAGCCTCCCTGACCTGATCCAGACATGTCTCTAGCTTTATCTTCTGAATGATGAACTGTTCGTTATCTTGATTCTCGCCATTCTTGTATTTGCTGTTGTGTTCGGTCCTCTTCTGCCATATTCGCTGAAGGACATCATCGTTGACGTAATACCTGACCGCCTTCACTTCTGCTTCGAACTCATCCTGAAATGCGATCCAGAATTTTCTACTCTCTTTGATCTGAAATGACAACTGTCTAGCAGCGAGCGAGACTTTCAACTCTGCGTTAATAGCCGTGGTGGTCTCCTCCTTGGGGGCTATTGGGGTTGTTGGAGCGGGAGTGACTGGACGACTCCCTCCTGGGGCTTTACCTCCTGACCTTGATGATGACTTGAACCGCGTTATCGGTCGATCATCGGGGGGTTTTCCATGGTGATCATCTGAATCATTACCGTGATAGCCACATGGGTGTTGAAAGTACAAAGTTCCGTTTGGGCTATACGACTCTGATTTCGACGAATGTGGACGGGAGAACGAAAGAGGCATACTGTCTATGTGCACTCCTCCCCGTCGATTATAGGAAGACCGTCGTGACTCTCCATCATCAATGTCGCTTCCAGAAGGCCCTCCCATGGTGTATTCAGGAACAATAGCATTCTCGTTGCGAAAATTTAAGGTATCCAATGAGCTTTCAAGGCGATCCTCCTCCGTTTTGTAGCTTGAGGGTTTGCTAAAAGGTGCTAGCGCTAGGTCTATTATACATACAATGTGATGCTTGCTATTTGTTTATACACTACACTTACATTTCTAACAAGCGGTTCGGAAACATTTATCACGAAGATTTATGTATAATATTAGTATTATAGTTAATTTTTATTTGACAATTCAACAATATGTATTGAGTCAATGAGGGGAATTAACCAATATATGGTTTAGATTTTAACTAACCACTAACGATCTTATTCCTTTATTACTGGTGCTTATCCGTGGGGAAATTCAGGTACATTTCCACGATCCCGATCTCCACACTTCGCAATAACATATTCTTATCAAAGTTGTAGTACTTCATATAACTACCACTCAGACTTCATCCGATTTCAGCAATAAAGTTATTTCTAACGTTTCGAAAATAGCGCCGCCAAGCACGGGATACGAGACGACGGTTTTGTATGACATGTCAAAATGTGGATATACGTAAGGGTACTTCATACCTACTATGTACTTGAGCTGGTCCAAGCGTGCACATTAGTCCATCCCGACAGTTTGGCTCGGTTGATCCCTGCGCTAACCGTATTTGGTAAAGGATCTCACCAGTTGGCGGTTGCGGCGCTGACGGAGAGGGGGGCACACCTGAAACGAAACGAGGCGCCGCAAGACATGGGGCTGAGGTACACAGTAGATCCTACGGCTCTTGCGGCAACCTTTGATAGGTCGGGAACTGAGGCTGAGGCTATGAGGCATAGGTAGCCTAACTTTCAAAAAAAAAAAAAGAATGGTACAGTACTCAATAATACCCGGGCCTATACGTAGTATGTAGAACTTTATCGGAATATCGGCAGAGAAAATTAGCCTTGGTCTTAGTCTTAGTCTTAGTCTTGGTCGCGTGCTTGAGATATAATTCGCAATGTCGCATTTACATACTAACTTAGATGGTTTTGATATGATATCTCGCAGTTGCGCATTACATATAATACACCGCCAAGCAAAAAGGCCCCCTTCTCACCGAAATGATTCATTCACCGAGAGAAACGCCTAATACGTATTGTTGTTGGAACGATGCTACCCAACCCGTCCGTGACGAGGTTATTTTAGTCTCACATCTATGATAGGTCAATGATGGTACCACGGCATGCTTGACCCAAGTGCTCGGGCTCGCATCTGTCGTCTGTTTGGTCGGTATAGGCGGGGAGGGGTAAAGGGGGGTGGATTATGTGGGAAAGGGGTGATTATAAGAGTATTTGCTTGTCACCGATGGGAATAGGTTCTAACCTGGACAGAAACAGCGCCGTGCATTTGATGTGTGTACCTAAAGTATGCAACTTAAATGCGTCCTGATGTTTGTATACCTAATGCTTGATATTGTTGTGTTAGCATAAGACGCCTTATGAAATATAGTTTGGTAATACAACAGAGCACAACACAAGCACACACATTTACACTTGCAGATGTTGGGCGTGAAATCATAGGTTGATTCTAACCCAGAGAGTTGGATCTCCCGGTTACTTCCCTATCATTCTGCTCCGCATTTTCTGACTTGCTGTCTTTAATATCTAAAGCTCAGTGACAACGGCCAACATTTTGATCGCCTTGGAGGACTTTGTATTACACACACTGAAGACTCCCTCATATCAACTAACGTCTAGCTTTATCTATATTCATTAGATTAGGTACCTACATAATACAGAATCAGGTAGGCATACAGGTATACAATGTATGACAGGAACAAGTCCATAAACTGCTAGGCTGATATGTGCAATGAACCGCGTCATCTGTGTAAATCTCATCTCCCACCCCCTTTCTCACCCCTATTCAGTTTACACAAGCACCAAGCACGTCTTAACCATCGCATCTTGGTTGGGAGGAACTACGCATGTATACACAGTCAACGTCAGCGCCCAGGTACCTACTACACCGCATCCGCCGTAGTTTTCATTTCCTTTGCGTTTTCCTCTTGCAATTTTCGTCTACACATATACATTTAAGGGGTCAAGTATCTGTAACACCTACGTATCTAGGCGTGTATATATCATCCCCGCCTCGACCTACGCCAACCTGTACTGTTAGTCATACATGTCCAAGTATCCACGATAGCCTCCATCTTATACGTTTACTATCACACGCGCATATGAAATATACCAGCGTAGTCAAAATAACACTTATTGTCGTAGTGCATTCAAAAATTATGAAAATTCATTTCGTATGGTTCTCATACTACATTACAAGGGTATGCCCGTCTGCTGACTAGCCAACAAATTCGTTGTATCTGCCCTCTGTTTGTATGCGCTGTTGTATGTAACTTAATGCATCAAATTGCAAATTCCTATACTTGGGAGTATCATGTCGTCCCGACCAAAGCGTCAAGGGTCAAGTGTCAAATATCCGCGCCGCTTTTGGGTTGTCCTATGCCCATGTTCCGAATGCCGATGACCAGTAAAATCCATATGCTGTTCCCTGGGCCAATAAATGCCAGAACCCGATATTAGAGAAAAAAAGAGGAGAAAATCAAAACGTCATCCAGATGCAAGAGCCAAACTTCGCTGAAAATGGGAATGTCCATCCTGAGTAATAAAGAAGAAAAAACATCAAATAACCGCCACCTCTCCAAGCGCTTCCATTCGTCGTAGTCGATATAATGCGGTCTCCCTAGAAAACTCCCTTTGCCATTTTGGCTCTCTCTTCACTCCACGCCCAACAAGTCCTTAATGTGACCTTGCGTAATCCTGATTGGCTCGTCCATCCCGATCGATATGTCCACGCTGAGCAGGACTCATAAAGGCGCTATTAGTATGACGCCACCGCTTGCGATATCTCCGTCTTCATGACGGAAAGTCGCTCTCGCATATCTATCAGGTCTGCCAGCTTATCCTCCGGTGGCTCCTTCAGGGCCGCAATCTCGTAGTGCAACGCCTCGTATCGCTCGTAAAATCTCGTGAACTTCTTTGCCTTTATCAAGACGTCAGGCGGCACGCGCGGCTTCTTGTTCGGAGCAGACTGCTGCGAAGAATACTGGTCGGCATCCCGTTCCTTGCGCTTCTTGGTTTGGTTCATGGTCGTAGAACTGCCATTTACCGCTCCGTTCGTAGTACGCTCCCCGTTACGAGCCGGGGGCTTGAGCTGGCGCGGAGGCGGTTGATGATCTTCGAGGTCGGAGGCGTTCGTCGGTGGCGAGGAAGCAAGTGGCGATGACTTAGTGGGTGACGTATTCTTGCTTCTCATCGAGATAGTCGAAGACGTTACTCCTACGGGAGCATTTCTTGAGCTCTGGCTTGCGTCTGACGGGCGGTGCTTCAGATTCGTGACGTTGGACAACGGCTTAGGAGGCTCCCTCGGCTTGATTCGCTTGCTAAGCGGCGCCCCTGAGCTCGAGCTGCTATCGTCGTCTTCGCGTGGCCGTTTCTGAGAGGTCAAGCCGGAGGGTTTCACGGGAGCGCGGGGTGCTCGAACCACAGGCTTCGATTTCGGTGGGGCAGGCTTCTCCTTGGGCTTCTCTACCACTCTCTCCACCGGTTTCTCCACTGGCTTCTCGGTTCGTTTCTCAACAGGCCTCTCGGCGGGTTTCTCGATAGGCTTTTCAATAGATTTCTCCACTGGTTTCTCAGCAGGTTTCTTGATAGGCCTTTCGATAGGTTTCAACGACTTCAACGATGATTGGTTCGAACTAGCTCTCGATAGCGGCCGCTCATCCCCACTGCTTTCGGAATCGATCACTTTCTCATCCGAAAGGAATTTCCTGCCCTTCTCTTCGGTTGGCTTGGGCTTGCTGGCCGGCTTTTTCGGGGCGGGTTTCTTAGGGTTGTTTGAGAATAAGCGCTTCGTCTGCGCTTCGCGTTCGCTGACCTTCTTCGTCTTGCTTCCCAGCGGTTGCGAATTAGATCGAGCCATAGCTTCGCCTTTTGCCTTGTTATCGACATCGCTCTTGTTGCCATCGTCCGCTTTCTTCATGCCAACCCGAGGAGTTGGGGTTACGTTTCCCTTCGCAAGAGTTGCTTGTAGCTTACTCAAAACGATACCCTTGCCCCGCTCGGAAGGAGTAAGCAATTTCTCCCATTCGACTGCAGATGTTGGAATGCGTGACTTGTCGTATTGCCTAATGGCATTGTCAATTGCTGCGCGGCGATCCTCCTCATTACGATAATCGTAGTTCCATACGTCCAGCTCTTTCCAGAACACCGGTCGCAGACTGTACTTTTTCGTCGAGGAATCAAAATTGGCGATCTTCTCCACAGTTCGCTTAAGATCTGCATCGGCGCCCTTCCAAATCTCTGAGAGATATTCGTATGTTCGATCTCTCGATGCTAGTTCGTGAACAAGAATACTCCTTTGGTTCTTGTTCTTCTCGAGTAGCTGCTGCGAGGCGGAAAAGGCTGGGTTCGGTGAAGAAACTCCATTGAGCGCAGGACTCGTCGGTAGTGATCTAGTGGAAGAATTCGATAATGCACCCGCCATAGCAGACCTTCCAGCAGGTAGAGGCTTGGGTTTGGTGACTCGTTTAGTGTCTTTGGCTTTGGTGTTGGTAGACCTGTTCGCCAGGATACTGGCGGGTGGCTTGCTGAGAATAGACATGGTGGGATTTGGTAATCGCTGTGCTTTGCTTGCCGATTCTTCTGGTTTCGTGAGGTACAAGTCGTAGCTGTATGACTGCGGATTTGTTTTGACTTTTTGTTCCTCGGAACCAAAGATTAAGCTCTGTAAATAGAGAGAATTGTGTTAGTTCAATAGTTAAGGTATTCAATTGAGAAATGGTGCAGGTTTGAGAAGGTATGTGCACAAGTTTTGTTGGTACCTGGGGCTGGTAAAGTGCGGGAAGGTGTTGCGCTGCGCAGACCTGAGGTATTCAGGTAGAGGGCATTCAAAGTAACTGATTTGATGCACCTCATGACCATTTCCGCTTATCCAAAATAAAAATGGCAAGAACTAAACCAAAACTACCTAAGTACAACAGCAAACTTACAGGATTATTTCCTAGGGTCAATTCAACCTCTTGCCCCCCTTGTACACATTTTATCATGTCCTCGATCACGCTATCATTCAACGTGATGCCGAAGGCTTGCAACGGGAGGTATTCGTTCGAGGTTGCCGAGCTCTCTAGGAGGAGGCCGGCGTCGGGAATCGTGAGGACTGACATGGCGAAATAGTTCGGTATGGGTCGACGATATGAAGAAGGGGTATTGTGAAAAGAATTGAGGATATCGGTAGGGCAATACTACGAGGTTAAGTATTGACAATGATGGTTATGCCGTATGGTTGTTGTCGAGGAGAGACACCTGCATAAGCTCACAAGCTCCGCACCTTGCTAGACTTTAAGAGTCCAACTTGACAATGACCCGACTTCTTATGCAGCTCCGTCACATGGCTTTATAGCTAAGATTTGAAGTAAAGGCTTCCGAGGATACGAGGTCAAATACGTAAGAGGACGAGATCAACAAGTGAGGTATGTCGACTGTCAACTATCGACTAAGGACTATTGGCTAAGGACCAGTATGATTAGACCAAAGAAGAGGAAGAGTATGCGTTGTATGCTGTATGCTGTATGCTGTATGCTGTAGTATGAGTAGGAGAGGAAGTATTGGGAAGTACGAAGTTGTACGGAATAGTCTCGTTGAATCTTGGTCAAGAGGAGAAACAAGGGAAAATGAAGGCACAGATGGATGGATGGATGGGATGGGGTGGGATGGTACTAAAGGTACTTAGTAGTGGAGAATGACGGGGGTATTCCTAGGAAAGTACATATGTATAGAGTAGGTACCGCGCTTGCTTAGTTCATCCCGTCCGCTCCAGCCTACAATGGGCAGAATGGGTAGAATGGGCAGTAGTACTATGACTACTAAGTGAAAGCTAAACCTTATTAGTAGAGTTACTTATTTCCCACATCAAAGGGCTTAAGGTACCAAACTTTTACACTGTGAAAGAACCTGAATCACAAACACGGAAGAGAAAGGGTAACAATAGGGGTTCATGGTTCATTAGAAGAAAGAATTATCAATTCACTAGGAAATTCGTGACACAGATTCTACGCCTTAGAAAGATGATAGTTTAGGCACTACATTTTTTCAATGCCTTTCTCTGCCTTCTTCTGCCTCTTTCGTAAAAAAACATGGTAGCTGGAATAAAAACCGAACGCCGACACAGCCCGGATATTACCTAGACAAGCTATTATTGGATAAGAGCGCTGACGGCACAGTAGGGCGAACGCTATGTTACAGCAGTTGATACATGTACATAGGCGTTGTACCTCTAATTCCATACATAAGGTACCTCATGCCTCATGCCCCAATGCCCCATGCCCCATGCGTTGCCATACATAGAAGATACTTCTCAATGGGCTGTGTGTGAGACAGGGGTTATGGATTTGCGGATGGACAGTTGCATGCATTTTCCCTTGGGCGGAACCTCGAGTTAGTACCAAAAAGTCTACATCTACATATGCAATGTAGTTTATGTACTGGTCTAGGTGCACTCATCGCCAACTTACTACAGAGGTAGGTAGCTATATTATGATTCATATGATTCAATGGTTGAATCGTCGAGAATAACGTAGGTGTGTAATCTTAGTCGTGTGGTCGTGTGGGCGTTGTCCTACTATACAGTGTTTCTATTGTACGTCGATACGATATATACATGTCGCAGCAGCTGGCAGAGCGTAAACTAACGTGTGTTGCTGCGAGGGAGGATCTAACAGCCGAACGAACGTGGGTACCTGTTAGGATACGATCTCTCTCGATTGTTCCGTCAGTTTGATACAAGGGGTAAAAAGTCCTCCCAAGGTTGCCAAGCCTTCTACTTCTTCGCAATGCGGGAATATATGCGAGAATAGACAAACACGATGAACAACTATTCCTTCTAACTATACTCATACGAATCATTGGCTAGGTTTACATAGTGCTGGTGACGAAACACACAGACGTACATAGCATCCAAGGCAAAAATATAGTTCAGGCGGTACCTCTCCGTCTAGGAGAACCGAGTGCTCGTTAGCTCTCCGGGGCCTAAATTACATCATCCGGCTTGGGCTTTACCATAGTTTACCATAGTTTACCATAGTTAGAACATGGTATTGCACCAAACTGCGGCTCACAATCGTGCCACTGAATCAGAAAGACGATGATGTGGTTAACAGACAAGCCAGCTCATCATGAGTATCCATCTATCTTAAGTGATATATGACAGTTTTAGAAGAAAGTTCGGTGAATGTTCTCGTCATGAGGAAGTTTTGACTTGGGTCGATTCATACGTGCGTACGTACGTAGACAAGGCATTGCGAATGGTTGCAAAATGAGTCGATAGGCAAGAGACAGGCAAACCGTGCATCTTGTTTAGCCGTGCTTAGTTGTCAGGCCCCAAGTTTCCAAATACGAGGCGAAATAGAACAAAATAGGACATTCTATTATCCTGTGACACCGGTCTGTGACATTGGTGTCCTTTCTTCGTTGGAAAATTCACCCTGCGCATATGCAATGCCTACATGTAGGGACGTTCCTGGTTTTGCTGGGTCCTGCGTGTTAGAACGCTTCGTGTAGATTGCCGGACATGTAACCAAACATATCTGAAGATTTCTAACATCGACAATTCATCGCTAAAGTGCTAGGTATGAATCATATGAATCACCTACGCAGGCATTGGTATGCGTTGGTCAGCAGATCGTAAAAGATTATCTATTCTCTACGCCTAACGATGTCTAGACTGGGCTGATTATTATCTAGGGCATCAAAAAAATTGCTTCTGTAGTGAGGCCCTGAGAAAAGCCCTGTACGAATGAACGTAGCAGATTATAAGATTTTTCTGGGAGTTGGATCAATGGACCCTAAAAAGGTTCGCCGGCGTGCTGACATGCAGGCTTTCGAATCCCGATTGGGTATAACATGTTGTATGAAATGATGTTGGAGCCAATCGAGAACGAGGATAGCAGCTAAAATACATAAGATAAAATTTATTGTAGGTACATTATGTCCCAGATCTGACTGAAACAAAAAAAAAAAAAAAAAAAAGGAGCTTATGCTCTGCAGCACTCTTTTCTGTTCGACGTCTCCTCGGTGGCGGCGACTGTGCGTATTGCCCAATCTCGACTGTACCCGTAGCTATCCTTGAACTGGAGCCGAATAGACGGGCACGCCGTGCGTCAAGATCGTCCCATCAACGGTACTCCACGCTTCGGGGGACCCTTTTGATGGTATTATTACTTTGAAGAATTGTGAGGCCGTAAATAGAAAGTTCGCTTAACGCTTCTAGGGGAATAATCTAGAAAGATCATACTACATGGCTATACGATTTTCTTTTTTTTCCTCGCTGGCGAAGACGGTGAGAGAAGAACAGGCGGCGATGGAACCATTTACAGAAGGTTCAAGGAAACTTTCAGGTACGACGGGGGACAGCCCATAAGAGGTAGCTGGGTATGTATTGTCCATGTACAAAGCTGGATAGCTCTCCACAGCAAATCCACCAATGGATTGCGCTCCGGACCGGTCGGTGGGACTTGGATGGCACATATGGCACATATGGCACATACATGAATAGCCTACCGAATCTTCAGACCCATTACGCGCGACGGATTCTGGCGTCCCTGACAAATCTCCTCTGACTCCGAATTAAACTATTTAAACCAATGCCTTTCCCAGCCAACGTGCAATGACCAATTCATCATAACCGGATATGATGATATGATAGGGGAATAATATTCACTAATACACCAATACGCTAATACTACTATTACAACTAATAACATCAATATATGCGAAATTCCAAGCTCAGATCTAAGACGCAAGCGAGCCACATACATATGATATTAGGTATGGTCTTGGCTAGCTAGTACCCTTTTAATGGTCCCCGTTTTATCAATCTGGCAATGGTACATTATCGGCGAGACCAAAAAGGGATGGTTCAAGCGAACATATACGGTAGTACACTGCATATACCATATTATGGTACTATGGTATGACACTAGGAAGTCAGTCAGTCAGTCAGTCAGTCAGTCAGTCCTCGTCAGCCGTGATAATGCTGAGAATTAGAGTTCTCAGCGGCGAACTCGCATCATCTCGAGCCTGAAAGCGGTCAGTGAATAAGCACGGCAACCTGGGACTCGGATAAACCGCAAAGTTCCTACGGCTTGGCCTCGCCGATTTACTTCACAAATTCACCTATGCTTTTCCAGAGGCTAGCTGAGAGGCGTTGCGCCCTGACATCATTCAGCTGACATGAAAGCTTGATGGAGGGGGAACCCGACCATATGCGTTAGTAACTATTACCAGATATTGCAGAAATCAGAAATTATATTTATTTATTTATCACAATGATTATTATGACAAGTCTATAACTCTCAAGAGCCATGTATGCATGTACCGCACGGTGCGATAGAAGCTACGTGCTACGTGCTACGACCTACGGCTCTCTATCCCTCATCGCTCCTCGTTAGACACCTGCTGCAGGTCATCCACGCGAGAATCTGCACGGGCTAGAAGCGCCACGAGGGGCCGACGACCGAGAGGAATTGGAAATTCCGGCTGGGTAGGTAACATGGACGTGGCGTTCTGCCCCACACATCCTTTTCTGCTGCGTACTTACAATAGACGTGACTATGTAGGACTGACCTGACTTGACTGACTGCCATTTCAGCTGCTTTTCTTGGGCCATACGTTATACACTATACACTACGCAAACACATCGCGGCGTCCGCGGTTGACATATATGGTTCACTAACACACATAGAGTAAAATACACTAGACATAATAATAGTATTTTGTATAGACTCAATCACTGCATTCCACGTTATCCAAGAGCCTTCACTTTGTTATACACATCATCCGGGGAAAAGCAACCATGTCGTCACTCGTCATCAATATACAGATTTACAAACCATCTATCCTCATAGTGCCCGCCTGAAGAGGGCTAGTTGTTGCGTTGCATCGCAACAAACATCTGCGCTGGGAGGGATGGGTAGGGATGGTAGGGGGAGGGATTTGCCTGCCAGTTCACCTACGCACACACACATCCTTGTCATACGTCCAATTCTTCTGCGTACGGGGTCCTCAGACAGGCATCTTGTTAGATTTCAAGTTCATTGACTAAGATTTTTCGTAAGTCCCTCACCTCGTACGCGCGAGGATTAAGGGTCCGAAGCCCGAGAAATTGGGATGGATGGCTAGGCTGTCAGTCAAACTTGTCGAGGTTGGGTGCTGAGATAATTGTTGGTATTGCTTAGTATTCCCCTCGTTGTGCCCAATTCCCTCGTCAGTACATACTACATGATAAGTTAGTTGTCCTTCCGAACGCTCGGTAAACTTAGGAAACTTAGGATAGAGAACCCGTCTCTATTCGGTCGACGCTTGGCTCTTAGTCGGGTAAGAAAGCGGACCTAAGTATAGGCTATTACATATGTGGCTAAGTTAGCACCTATCGAAAAGTCCAGTCCATAATATCTAGATTAGCAGCTTGGGGTTTCCGGGTCTTGGGTTACTACTAGTTAGTGCAATGCATCTCCAGGACGACCTACTCCCCTTCGCGTCGAATTCGAGTCAGTTAGTCAGTTATTGTGATGAGTTATAGCTTCAAAATGTATTACTAGGATTTCTCGTTCTAATGCATTACATATATCTAGCAAGCAAGCAAGCAAGCAGGCATTTCGTCTCGACGGCATTAGTTAAGTTAGATAAAACTGCCCGAGCTTCCCGCCCGCGGGCCAAGCAATACACTACATTATGTATATACACCCATACATACATACGTACATACATACATACATATACCAAGTATAATAGGTACATAAAGGGATGGGATGTCACAGGTGCTACCCCATTCGACTATGCGGAGTGACGGGTACCTAAGTAGGTAGATTAAAGACGAGCTATCATTGGACGCGTCAACGTAGGTGGAAGAAAGCGGGTTGCGGGAATGCAAGCACTCGTCGAAGATTGTCCGAATGCCCCGCCGTCACATCCTCGATCCAACCCACTAGACCCGATAACTCCAGATGGGACACTCCAGGGTTAGCACTTATGCAACTTATAGAACTATGGGATTTTCCGACTTGCGGCCATTGGTATGAACAAGTGGGTGTCGTGGAAATAAGTAACTTAGGTAGGTTAAGTAGTTACATACTACCTAAACATAGTTGACGGACTAGGTTAATAATACATATTGCTCTAGCAGCTAGCTTATTGCAACTTTATCTACCTATTTGTAGTTTGTTGTTTTAATAACGAAGTATGTTGCGATATGTTGGCTTGGCTTGGCTCAGCTTTAAATACATACATAGCGTTTGCTTTGTTTAAACCAACCATCTCCATAATAAAATAAAATTGGAGGATGGATGAATTATATACATACGATACCTGAAGTAAATTAGTATAATCGTATAACTAACTAAGCAAATGGTCACCTAAACCTACTTAGGTAGTTAGTTAGTTAGTTATTTGATAAGAGAGAGATATATATATATACCAACATGATTTGCTTATGAAGCATTACATCTTACAATATTCGAGATGCACGCGCTTGTTCCGGTGTTAGCCCGCATTTCTTTAGCAAGGTATCTTGTTACATCAAACACCCCCCGTAGACCGGTGGGCGACCACGGATGGGCGAACGGAGGGGAAAAGGTTGGCTGGTGATTCGTTACATACATATTTAATACATTAAACTTGACTGCATCTACGTACACCACATACACTGATGTAGGTACATGGTCTTATGAGCTATCTTTATGTATGGGGTGAGGGTCAGTATATTGGTAGATAGGGTTCGGTAGTGCGACACCGGGGAAAATGCGGTCCCTTTCCTTTTTCCCTTTCCCATGGTATAGGTGGTACATGAATGTAATGCAGGTGTATGGTGTACCTATGGTGTATGATGTATGGTGTACCTATGGTATGTGTGTGTACTTGTACCACACCTTAATTAGTAACCCCGGATGTATAAGAGGTTATTACCTCCTCGAACCAAACAAAACATCGTAATATATTGCTTACGTAGTTCTTAAGACCCTAGCCCAGATTTAAAAAGCTTCTCGCCCATGTGACCACATTTCTAATGTACGAAATTGTGTATCTATGTCCTAGGTAGGTGAATCGTGATTAAATACCGTACGATGTTGTCGTTAGTAGACACATGAAGTCTGTATTATGTAAATATAATTCAACCATGGGTTCTTTAACAACTCGCATGATCAATAGAATTCAAGGATGTAAAGGTGGATATTATGATTGAATTGTCTTATCCATTGCACGAAAAAATAGTGATAGGAAATTCTCGAGGTTGGTAATATCTTTTGTCCCAGTAAAAGTAGCTAGCTGTATATATTTAATTATATACATAGGTAGGTATTTAATAAAGAAAAAGAAAAAGATTTTTGAATTGAACCAGCAGCTAGATTTCGGAAAGACAGCTTGCAAAGCCGAATTGCGGAGTGCGGAACCGACGTGCCGCCTCAAGAATATACATATCGCTTCAAAACATTCAAATACTAGTAAAATCTAGGTTCTAGCGGTAACTGTCACTAATATATCTCCCAAAGCTTCTTAACTTATTTTAAGGAACATCTAAGTATATCGCGTGTTGCTGTTCAAGCTATAACATAATTGACATCGTACGTTCTGCATTTTCCATATTCATCTTATTTTCTCTATGAACAGTATTTCGCGTATGGCGATATACAGTGACCCATATCGATGCGGTGACCAATCTACCATAATTAGGGTATGCGTTACCATCTGATTTATGCCCTCCCGGAATTATCTTCTTCGCAATTAAAGCAAAAGCAAACGCAACGCCTGCACCACCAAAGAGGCTGAACCTCTAAGAAGAGCTAGTAGCTTAAACTGCAAGCCGCTACTCTACTGCGTCTTGAAGAGCAGGATGGCGCAGTGTCCTAGGTAGAAGTAGATGAAGTGCTTCGTTTCTAGGATTATGTTAGCTCGGACATCACTTATTTCTGTCCCCGTGCGTTAAGATAAAAGACGGCATACCGTGAGTGACAAAACTTCCGAAGTTCCTTCCTACGATGCAGTGCCAAGTCGGACCCTTTCGTTCATCGAACTAGCAAGCTAATTTTAGTATTCCCAATGGAAAGAATTGTCGACAAGTAGATCGTACGAATAGACTTACGGTACGCTTGATGTGCTGTGCAATGTCCTTCTCGATGGTATATTTGCCCATAGCTTCCTGAGCTACTCTTGATATTAGATTATGTATATTTAGTTCCCTAAACAAAGACACATACCGACGTCGATTACTTCTTGCTGCATGTCTTCCGTCTGCGGTTCCGTGTTAGTTCATTCCAAGCCCTTATTTATCGCTGGGCATTTCTAACCATATCTGCAGACTTGATTTGGGCTATAGGGAGAGATATGTTAGTCAACTATGTATTTATAGCTATGCGTAGATACGAGAAACGGACCTTCGAGCTTATCGCGGGTACCGGCCGGTGGAGGTGACTGTTGTTCCGCCATCTTGTCGGTTTATAGTGTCGGCTTCGTAGTAAACTTGACTACCCTATAGCAAGTATGATGGTTAGTTAGTAAGCATGACTTTAGACAATAATATCATTAGGCGGATAGATTGTTAGGAGCTGAAGTTAATATACGGTAAACATACCTAGGTCGAAGGCTCAATGGTAAGAAAAAGGTGAGGATAGATTCTTACACTATCTGTTATCGCAGAGGGGTTAGAGGGGTTTCGGTATAAGCTTCAAGAGGTGATCTTGCCGTGTCGTCGTTGAGGTTGTCAAATGCGTTACGAAGTGGGTGGTTTATGCCCAATTGTCGCGTGTTTAGCGGCTTGAGAGGTCGACATGTAGATTATTGTAGCTATCATTAATCATTGGTCCCCTACAACTTGAGAATTAATTATTCCCTGCCGTTATCATTCCTCCTATTGGCTGATATCTATGCACGGACCACTATTATCAGCAAATTTAGAGCCAAATTATGGATCGTGGGGCTGAAGAGCCTCAAGCGGGACGTTTGAACCACGTGATGATAAAAGATTTTTATCTTTGATACCAGATTCTGCAACTTTTTTTTTTCCTGCATTTCATTTCGATTTCCATCACTACCCTTCAACCATTCTTTAGGCGCTACTAGGTGACCTCGTTTATAAGCCAAGTAATCGAATCGAATTCGACCTTTCTACTCTTCTTTTTTTTTTTTAATGTTTCTATAGTCGTATTAGATACCCAATAATCATCATGGATTCTTCACGAATCTTCGTTAAAGGTCTGCCACCGAATCTCAACGAGGCCGACTTGCGCAAGCATTTCGCGTCCAAAGGTCACATCACAGACGTCAAGCTGATACCTCACCGAAGGATTGGATATGTTGGCTATAAGAGCCCGGAAGAAGCCGCTGATGCAGTTAAATACTTCAACCGTTCCTTTGTACGGATGTCTAAAATATTTGTCGAGTTAGCAAAACCCGTTAGTACCTTCATTACAATACTAGTCCGCATTGGCTCAACACTTCTTGCAGATAGCAGACCCATCCTTGCTCAAGTTCAAAGAAAGAAGGAATAAAACAAGTCTTGATACGGGAGTCTCTCAGGTGACTATTAAATCGTCTGCGGAGTCGGAATCACAACCCGAGAACTCAAAAAAGAGGAAGCGGGATGAAGCTAACGAGTCCGACCCGAAACTACAAGAGTTTTTAAATGTCATGCAACCTGCAAAGACTTCAACAAGCAAGATACATGGTGTCGTTACGGAACTTGCAGATGAACCTCCTGCAAAATATGCTGCGCTTGTTGAAGAGGGAGCATCTGATGACGAATACGAGGTTGTACCAAACCGACGAAAGAAGAGCCAACCTATAGAAAATGCAAAGCCAGTATCAACTGTAAGCATTGTAAACGGTGGGGCAGATCGCCAGCCCCAAACAGAGCCCGATATAGTCGAAAGACCTCGGGAGGAAGCGGTACCAATTGCTACTAGCGTTGTTGAGACAACATCAGGTGCGGCTGCTACGGACGATGACTGGTTACGGTCACGGACGAACAGATTACTTGACCTAGTCGACGATGAAGATATCGTGCCTACAACTGCCCCACCTGAAGACCAGCTATCTGTACCGTCACTCCAGGAGCAAGAACCTGAGATTGTTGATGCGACTCTTGGCGAGAATCAGGTTATGAAAGACCCAAGTCCTCAGCCCAACGAAGATGAGCCTGATACAGAAACCAAAGACGACACCCTAGACACAGTTCGTAAAACCAAGAGGTTATTCGTGCGCAACCTGCCATATTCTGCTACCGAAGATGAGCTTAGGTCGTACTTTGAGCGATTCGGTGACGTTGAAGAGGTAGGCCTTTCCTAGTATTTTATTCTTATTTTTTTTTATCGGTTCTATGATGAACCCCAGATAGGGACAGCTGATACCAATGGTATCTGATGAGAAGCCTGGGCCAGTATTTTAGTAGATGCGTGGTGTCTGAGAACCATCCCTTCTTAATTAGCTTCTTCGTGTTCAGCTACCTTCCATTCCTGCTAAAATGAAGATAGGTTCATGTGCCGATGGAAAACTCGGCCAACAATCGCGGAATTGGCTTTGTTCTGTTTGCTAGTCCAGACGATGCGACAAAAGCATTCCAAACAGATCACTCTTCTTTTCAGGGGCGAATATTACATGTTCTACCAGCATCAGCGAAACGTGATCACAATCTTGATGAGTTTGCACTGTCAAAATTACCATTAAAGCAGCAGAATATTATTAAGAAGAGAGCTAAGGCGGCGGAATCGAGATTTAACTGGAATTCGCTTTTTATGAACCAAGATGCCGTAAACACATCAGTTGCCGATCGTTTGGGAATCTCAAAAGCGGAATTGCTTGACCCAACCAGTTCTGACGCAGCTGTGAAGCAGGCGATGGCAGAGACATCGACGATCCAAGACACTAAGGCTTACTTCGTAGCCAACGGTGTCGATCTGAACGCATTCAAATCAGGGCCTCGGGGTGACACAGCTATCCTAGTCAAGAATTTCTCTTACGGCACGACAATCGAGGAGATCAGAACCCTCTTTGAAGAACATGGTCAAGTTTTGAAAGTACTCATGCCTCCGACGGGGACAATCGCTATTGTCCAGTTCGCGCAGGCCCCTCAGGCTAAGGTTGCTTTCGCCAAGTTAGCATACCGTCGATTTAAGGACTCAATATTATTCCTTGAGAAAGCACCAAAGAACTTATTCGTAGGTAAAGAACCACAACCAGAAATGGTGCAGACCAGCAAAGAGCCCAGTGCTGTGCAGAAGCTGTCTGCATCTGAGTTACTAGAACAGGAAACTCAAGAACCTGTCGAGTCAAGCTCGCTATTCGTGAAGAATCTTCATTGGGATACCACTACCGAGGAGCTTGCGAATGAGTTTAAGCATCTTGAAGGATTTAGGTCGGCCCAAGTGAAAACAAAGAAAGACCCTAAGAAGCTTGGTCAAGTGCTTAGCATGGGATTCGGGTTTGTCTCATTTTCTGACAAGAAAACTGCAGAGGCAGCCTTAAAGATTATGGACGGCTATGTCCTCAGAGCGCATAAGCTTCAAGTTAGAGGTTCGCATCGCGGACGTGACGCAGCCGAAGAGCGAAGACAGGAGGACAATGCGAAGAAGGCCGCTAATCAAAGAACAAAGATCGTGATAAAGAACGTCCCCTTCCAAGCTAACAAAAAGGATATCCGGATGCTCTTGAGCACGTATGGTCAGCTCAAATCAGTCCGTATACCTAAAAAGTTTAATTCTACTAGTAAAGGGTTCGCCTTCGCCGAGTTCGTCTCGCCGAAGGAAGCAGAGTCAGCGCTGCTTGCCCTACAAGATACACATTTGTTAGGCCGCAGACTCATTCTTCAATACGCAGAAGCAGAAGCGATTGATCCTGAAGAGGAGATCGCAAAGATGCAAAGGAAAGTTGGCGGCCAGGCTAGTAAAATGGCCCTGCAACAGCTTACAGGGGCAGGCCGTAAACGGGTGAACCTAGGAGGTGACGAAGACGAAGGGGAGATCTAACGAGTAATTAAATGTGTCTATATTTCCGATTTCGTGCCTGACTATGCATCTGGGGCTCTGGAGGGGTGTATACATTGCCACGTTGGGAACTAGGGACAATGGTTCATTGCGTTATCCCTTGTCAGGGAGAGGCGCCCATTGCTGGATCTGGGGCCACTTCCTTATCCCAGGGGTTTGGCATCACAACTAGCTTGCAGATTCATCCCCTCATTCGAGTGGCTTTTGTAACCCCTCCCGATTGAATCTCTATCGGTCCTAGACCTGATGATCCTATATGGGTATGCTAATCAAAACACATTCCGCCCCGCAAAGTTCACCACAACCGCCCCATCATTACCGGCCCGAGACTGGTTAGAGAGCCTCAGAATAGGAAATTAATGCATTCCCGTGGTGAGTCTATTATAGTTGCTCCTTATCATCTCGATATGATTCTCCTTGCGTGCCAGCAACATACGACTCTTGTCAAAGACGTCACCTGCTTATCTCGACCTCATTGGTCGTAGAGTATGTACTATTCGCAGCATATTCTTGACGACGCCCTTGAAACCTCCTAGTGGGTGTTTCTAGGGTCTAGTGTTCCTCCAGGGCACCTTTATTATTATCCTCCTAGATAGCCAAATAGCAGAAGTCGAATGAATGTAATCTCTATAAGATATGGCGATCATCTCTTCCATGCCAACACTCGAGTCCAGGAAAACTATCTCTAGTCGTAATAGTAATGGGCATTCTCTTTGCCGCTGCCATTCCTTTAAACATATCTTAATTCTACTTCCCAGCGTTCTTGAACTCTCCCCAAGCATTCTCTAAAATTCTCACTCTTTTGGCAATACATTCTTTTGGTCTTTCGTCATACACATCCAAATGGATCACCCACGGCCTGTTCTGTCATCTCAGAGATACTCCCCAGCATCAGACTACGCATACGAGACGGATCACGAACTAATTCCAATGACACGACAGCCCCTTGGTGAATCTACGGGCAACGTTCAACCACATAATCTCGCTGCTCTGGCGCTGTGTAATCACTCCTTATCACCACCTCTGCGTTCTATACCAACACCACCTATAGTCCCAACACAGGCTTTGACCTCGACCTACGGGACAAGCCTTCGAGGCGGACGTTCTTTACACCGAGATGTATCATTACGAGAGTCACCAATGGGTTATCCGAGGGGCAGCAAGAACCCCATCTACGCTTATAAGCACTTCGCCGATTATCGTAATAAAGTAATGCAAAAGGAGCTCGAGAAGGAACAACCGATATGGCCATTATGGTTAGAGGATGCTTTCCTCGATGGTAAGCAACACTGGCCCGGTAGTTCTAAAAACGATTTATACTAACCATCAAAAGCTCTTCTTTTAATCCCGCAGATGGGCCGGAAAAAGTTCAGCTCAAAAACTATCCTGTACGGGCGGAATATGCTCATTACGGAATATCTATGGATCTATCACTGGCTTCTACATCCTCCACAGAACGGAGAAGCCATTCCAAACAGACAGCAGAGGGAAAAGGGACCGAACGGAAAACCTCATCCTATGTACAGGGGACGGAAACAAGTATCGAGCCACATCCAAGTTTTGAAGGGCTTCTTCGCAACATTGGTCACTTGTAAGTATACCCAAAGCTATCGAGTGTTAAGTTCACTAACACTATCTCCAAGTCCACTTTATCTTCCCAAGTAAGAGAGATGCCAAGGAAGAGGACAGGAAGTTAATAAGGGACGATGATGACACGGAATCTTTCAAGAACAACCGAGTACTCATTTCCATAGCCGACGGCCGACTTCCCGACGAACGACCAAACTATGAATATTTCGCCCGCCTTCTGAGTGCTGATAACGATGTCTTCTTGCGACCAAAGCAATGCTGGATCTTTGTCTCATCATCTCAAGTCACCCTCAAGGAAAAGCATGTCAAGATGGATGATGGTACTACGAAGAAGCAGGTCACAGGGTGCACACCCAGCGGACACTGGCTCCGAGAGTCAGACTATCCTCATCTCAAACTCAACGACGGTAAGGATTACAAGGACCTACCACGAAACGGGGACCAGCCGACCGTTCTCCTACATGAATACACAAGGCCACTAGCACAAAAGGAATCTTCATCTATTAAGGATATCTCCAATAGGTGGGATGTCCAGTTTCCAGAGCTCAGGGAGAAGCTCCTTGCTGCACTCGACGACACACACCCGTCGGATGAGAGGACCTCACGTTGCGTAGTGGGACCTTGCGATACTTTTCAGTTCGAAGTAACGTTGGATTTACACGCAACGTCTAAGTTTCCTGATGGATCTGAACTTAATGGTATGGTGGAACTGGCAATAAACCGACCCGAACTACACAACCACAGCTGGAGATCTGTGACTTCAGTTGTGAAGCCAGACGAGTTGCATATCTCCGGGTCAGAACCTGATTTCTGGGACCGCAGCAACCCTGTCGAAGTTATCGTCTCACACCGCGTCGGATGTAACGGTGTAGGGCGATGCGATTGCGCATCTCGTGGTACTCGCGATACTATAGGCGTCCCGTTCCCGGCTGCTAGCTGGGCTAATACCTTTATCAAACTAGCGCCGTATGTGACCGCGGAACGGGAGCGTCGAGAACGTCGAGAAAGCGAGCAGGATTCAAGCAGAGGATCCCGGCCTTCTCGAGCAGAGCGCGAAAACGCAAGAGTAAAGAAGGAAGACAGCACGTCAGAGAAGGACGGCGCCAAGATGCCGACTCCTAAAGAACTCTTATCCCAGGTGGCTATGTATCAAGAGATCTGGTCTACACCTAATGACGGCCCTAGTAGCGGTAGTGAGGGTGGGAAGCGTGGATGGACACGGCGTGCAGTCGTACTATGGACTTTCGCCCCCGTGCATGATCATACGGATGAGAAGGGAAAGACAGCTACTGTTGCTGCTGGTACTAACTGGCGATTCCTAACCAAGGTTGACCCGACCTCGGAATATCATCAGCAGCGCGCATACATGACAAACTCCCCTTCCGTCTCCCGCGACAACATCATGTCGCCTAATCCTGGCTATCAAGCCCATCTCAACGCTTCCATGCACGAGAACCTGAGTGCGGCATACGATACCGCGCCAGTTCTACCATCAAATACACTACCGAGCCAGCATCATCAGCACACCCAGCACGCTACACATCATCACAATCATCACCATAATCATAACCATATGCCCCCTGGCCTAGATCTCCTAGAAGGCTTTGACAACGGCCTTGTCACACCTCCACCCACAGCATCATTAACGGGTGGATATCCGCATAGCTTCGATGACAGCGGTAGCGTGGACTCAGCTCTGCACCATCAGTTAAGTTACATATCCGACGGCACAAGCGGTACCGGTACCAACACGATCCCTGCTGAAATAGCTGGTGATAGCAGCCACAACGGCAGCACCAGCGGCACAGACCCTTTCCTATCCGGCCTCGGTGTACCAGTATCCTCTTATGACGACAACTGGGCAGTCCCAGCACAAAGTAGCGGTCTGAGCCTCGATACCACCGGTTGGGGCGTCGGCGTGAGCTGGGTCGATCCAACAGGCGGCCTCACCAGCGCAACCACAAGCGCATCGGCAGGCGAGCCACTATGGGCTAGCTCCCTCCCAGGCACCATCAGCGGACACAACTCGCGCGACACGAGCTTCAGCGGCGCCAGCACCTCGCACTGGACCGAGGAAAAAGAAGCCTCGCTATGGGCGAGCAAGACAGAGCATTCTCATTCTCATTCTCATTCTCATCAGTACACCACCACCACGCAACAGCAGCAAGACCCGTGGGCGACGTGGCAGCCTACGGGCGCGGAGCAGTCTGCTTGGAACATGGATGCGCAGGACTTCGGGCTAGATCTAGGGGTAGGGGCTACGAGTAGTAGCTCTGGGCTCTCACATACGCATACGCATATGCGGTCGCATCCGCAGATCGCTGGGCGTAAGCGCTCGCGCGCGGATAGCGTGGATGCCGGCGCGGATGGCTGCGATACCGTGTACCCCGTACACTCAATGCGCAAGTTGTCGCATCCAACTACGCTTCCCAGTAGTCATGGCCAGACGGGGCAGACCGCGCCTACGGCTGTCATGGATGATGGACAGGGGTTCTTGTAGAGTAGTGACATCTATCGTCATCTACTCTTTCTAAATTCTACTGTTGATCTACGATCTACAATATAGTCTACAGCTTTCAGCGTTAGCTAGCTGATCATGTTATGGAGTTTAATTTTGGTTGGGATATCGAGTTCATCACGTATTTGTAATATATACTCGAAGGCGTTCCACATGGGTTTCTCTCGGCCTTTAATCAAGCGCCGTTTGCTTGTTAGAGGAAATTGGGATACGGGATAAGACGGCGGCAAATATTTTTGTGTTTAATTAGTATTTCCTCGTGGACCTGTATTTGTATCATATCAAATTCACATTTATGAAGTTCACATACTTGCCTACCTCTCTTGTTTAGAAACATATATGTAATATATATTGTTCGAGCAACGCCTTGTTATTCCAGTATCCTTTGGCTAAGATAGACGGTTTTTCTTCCATTAGTATGTACTCTTATCACGACGCCATAGTATCACAACAGAGGACAACTCCCCCAACATCGGAGTAAGATAAATATTGACGGAGTAGCAAGGTTCCACGGCGGAAGACCTCGAATCTAACAAGAGCAGTACTAAATAGTTAAATATCCGAACCCGAGCGGCATTCTGGAAACAACGGCCCCAAAGAGATATTATGTTTCGAGAGCGAGCACTTGGCAGGGGAACGTTCTGAGGTCTTGGCGAGCGATAACTCTCGATTGGGAACCAGTTTCCCTACGATGCTACCGCGCAGATCGACAGCAGGGAAGCCCCCTAGCTCTTATGGCTAAAAATGGGCGAATAGATGATCGGCTCAACTAGCAAGGATTATTGTGTGGCGATTAAACAACGATAACTGAGCGATGGTGAAACAGCAGTGGTCTAGAAATGCAAAGAAATTTATCAAAATATGGTTGCCGGCTTCGACTGCTTGACTGCGCGGTAAATGTCCTGTCCGCCACGCTCAGGAGACCGAAAGTCTGACCCAATCCTTCTCATGAACGGAGGTAGTACGAGAACGGATATTATCGTTGAGATTAATGCGTTGAGAGTGCAAGATTTGCAAGTTACCTAGCAGCATGAAATCTAATAACCCTGTTGTATGTCTGAACCCGAAGGCGGCAAAGAGTCCATTTAATACCCTGAACAGTTTCTAATATGAGAAAAAGTAATAACTGATTTTAAGCTTATCTCAGCCGAAGAATAATATCGGTATCAGAATTTGCCTTATGCGGCGCTTAACGGTTGCACGAACGGGATGATTGAGTGGATATTCGCTATTTGGACGATCATTCCGGCTTGGGTATCTCCTGTAATTTTCGAAGCACGGCGCGTAACAACGGGAACACGAGACGGGTCGCGAAAATAATTACAGAGGTTTATGGATCATCAGTAGGTAAAATATGAGGACTACTTAAGCCTTTTGCCGATGCGGCGGTAAAGTAGCCAACCAAGTCGGCCAAGGCAGAGAGGGTCGCGACATTCATGATACCGGAAGCCACCGTCATTTCGCGTGGCCTTAAGCAACGGTCTCTCAAATAAAATATGAAGGTAAGGCATGTTAGTTTTTTAGTTAGGCCACAGAGATAGGTCAGAAAAAGAGAAACAAGAAACGGCTGGCTTGCCGCCATAGCTTGGCAGATTTGTAGCCTCTCGATGCGATGAAGGTTTGTTGCGTTTCGTCGCGAACTGGGGTGGGTATTGGCACTTGATTGGTCATGATGCAAAGAATTAAGAAGAATGGAACGACGAGACGGAAGATTATCCACATATTTTGTTTATGGATTAATCCACTAATGTGGATAATGTGGGGAAATCTGAGCCAAAGGCGCTACGAGATGAGGTATGTAATTCCACATTAGATACATTAGAACATCATAGGTCACTTTTATGACTTGCAGCAGCAAAAAGATACATATATCTATCGTTATCGGTTCAGGTACCTTGCATACGCTAAACCTTAGTCAGTTAGATCCCGCTATGCTGTATCACGTACCTGGTTACATTAGGTTAAGCCCCATCCAACCCCAAAACCCAACCTTACCATCCACATGTTTATATGTGAGGTACGTACCTAACTTAACAGTCGAATAGTCAGATTACAAGGTGAAGGTCTACAAAAAATACGCATCCCATCTACAGGCGCGCATGAACCCCTTATCCTAGACAGAACAGCCGCTACGAATAATGTTGACCTATCGTGTATCCCGCGCTATTCTAGTAGATACAGACAAAACGCTCCACGGTCCCCAACCTAACCCGAGAACTTGGCCGTCATCATGAGGCCGGGACTCTAACATGTCAAGATGGGGCTAGAGAAGTAGGCCGTAGTTTTATATGATTATTTCACTAGGTCAGAGCCGCTGTTCTGTTGCAGAGAATTAAAGTCCCGTGTTCTGTTCTTGCATGAGACTTGCATGATACTTTGTACAAATCCATAACTACTAGATTTCTTTTATTTCCCCCGATGTCGAGCAAACCACCAAGTATCTCAGATTTAGGTCATCAGGTACAATCTTCTACAATCATCTAACTCATTTACACCTTATCTCACAGGTACATAGATTTGTGTGTGTGTGGGACCACCCGTTTCTAAGTACCCGGTTGTTAAGTCGTTTGGAATCGACGGGAGTCAACCAAGAAAACTCACACCTTATCTACCAAAAATCAACCCACAGACTCGGTGAACAGTTCATCTATCAGCATTAGCACTTGGTTATTGTGGTGAATTCTCATTTGCAATCGCTTGCATTGTTCACCTTGCACCATACACTAAATTTCTCATCCCGCATCACGCATCATCCGACCTTCACACCTCACCAACTTTACAACAACCAGTCACGACCACTTTGTTTTTAACAATCCTAGAGGAACAATCAGCCTTGTCTCGTTCTTATTTATTGTTCGACAACGAGTCCTATTGTTCTTTTTCTTTGAGTTTTATTATTCTCGCCCCTCACAAAGAATATAATTCTGCCTATTTCTCCTAATTACCGTGACAACTCATCTACATCCACCACGTCGAGTCGTACTCGTTCGTTTTTTCTTCTTCGCGCAAGTCGCATAAAACCTTTCTTCTTTTTATCTTCGAGAACAAACTATATCATACCATTTACAACTTCCCTTGTTCATCGAACAATCCTTTTCAACCTCGCAGACATAGAGGGACACATCTAAGACACCTTTTCTCCCCTCGAGAGCCTACTTCTTCTAGTCTTATCTTTTTCTCGCAGGCGAGACAATCAAGTCAACATCAGACAACAAAAGTTACGTAAAACTGTCTTAACTTACTTCGAGATGCCACTCTACAACATTTCCAAAGCGATTTCGCTTACACTTCTCGCGGCCTCGGCCGTTGTTGATGCCCACTCCTGGGTCGAACAGGTCCGCAAGATCGACTCTACTGGTGCCTTCACAAACCCCATAGGCTACCCCTACGCATTCATGAACCGTTCAGCTCTCGGTTTCGTCGACGAGAAAGTACAGAACAAGATTTTAGATACTAAGCCTAATCCTCCCGTGTGCAAACCCAAGGCCGGTGCTTACGACCATCTGGACCGACTCACCGCAGCTCCTGGGGACTATATCGCCCTGCTCTACCAGGAAAATGGGCACGTCACCCAGCCTAACCTTACACCACGTCCCTACCGTGATGGACTCGTCAGCGTTTACGGTACCCTCCACCACGAGGATTCGGATGGTATTAATGATGTTCTGGGTTCGTGGACTGCCGATGGCAAGGGCGGTAACGGTAAAGGTAAACTTCTAGGAACCCATTTCTACGATGATGGCCAATGTTACCAGAACGCTGGTCACAATTTCGCTATTCCCATCTACGCCACTCGCTACAAGGAGCATGGCCTAGAAGAGTTGTACTGCCAGACCGACTTCCAACTCCCGGAGGATCTCCCTAATGAGGGGACCTACACGGTCATGTGGGTTTGGGATTGGCCTCTTATCACCTCCGATACCACGAACGTCACCGAGATCTACACATCGTGTGCCGAGATCCAACTTGAGGCCCCTAAGGGCGGTAAGAACACCCAGGTTAAGTTCTCAGAGAGTAACCCTATCAACAAGGCGGCTATCAAGTCCCAGCTTAACATGCAGTTTGAAGCCACCGGTTTGGGAATCGGAACCAACCCCCCGGCTGCACCTACCGAGACTCCAGTTACCTCTGCGGATAACGGCAGTCCCACCTCAGAGCCAGTGACTTCAGTGGAAACATCCACGTCGAAGAAGCATCATAATGGTGGGGTCAAGACTGTCACCGTTACCGCGGATGCTCAGACGACAACCAAGTGGCAAACAGTCACCGTTGGTGGTGGTGCTGGAACCACCACCAGACGGTCTGAATCATATGCAACTATCAATCCCACCCCTACCCTGAATGCCTCTACTTCAGCAAATCAAGCCGCGCCTACTTCCGTCGTGCCCGTAACCTCGATCTCCAAGTTCCTGAAGGCACGGGCAACAGGACAGGCGCGACGAAACAGTAGTTATGCATGAAGGAGAAGACCTCAATTATTTGAGGACCGTATAACCGGTGTTCGACTAGTTTTATTCCCTTTTTGATACCCCTTTATTCAGCATTTCCTATTAGGGTTTCTTCGCTTGCACATATTTTCCATATTTTCTTCTGTTCATGCATTCCATTCACCTAACGTCTGCGCCTGGCCGCGCCTTATGACACGACCGCATACGAGAATATGATACCTTTTCTTAGTCATAGAATGAAAGCGAAAGGGAGGCAGCATCGTATCACTCGTTCGGAAAGCATAGCGTTGGCGGTCGTTACTCGGATCCGGGGCGGGGGGCATTTGTATTACCGGATCAACTCATGAGGCAGTGGGAGATACGGGATATGGCAGATAGCTTGTCGCTAGGGGGAAATAGCGTCTATTCTAGGGTTAGGATGGAAAATACCCCGAAAGTCGGCTCTTAGGTTAGGTCAGACGGATGGACAGAAAGGCGTTTAAGGATAAGGAGGGGGGAATGTTACCGGAAGGGAAGGGATTACACAAAACGCATGCATGGAACACGGATCAATCGCATTTTCATGGAATAGGAATCATTTCATTTGTGTATTACGACAGTAGCTACATTTACTACGATGAATTCAGCCGGTCGTTAATAATCATTGGCTTTAGTAAAACGTCGTGATATATCGTAGACTAATTCCCGAGAGTACCAGACAGACCCCTGAGAGATAATCCGGTAATGCTTCGACCTCAATGGTAGTTGAAAAGTAATACGTGAGGCTCGACTTATAAATAAATAGCCTCGCATTTTATCCATCCTGACTTATCAGATCTCTTGTGCCTGTCTTAGATCTCGCAGCAAGCTGAATGCGGCCCGTATGCAGGTCATCTCTTGGCGATGTACCGCATCCTACATACGCTCATCCATATAAAATACAAAAGAAACGAACCAATCATACCTAATATAAATCCGTCCTTGCCATACAGCCGTATCCTCTAAGACATCACGCAACCCAGCCGTCCCCAGCACAAGTCATCCAGTTCACACCGACGGGGCTTAGCCCGTGCTTCTCTGCAAATTCGGCAGGCTTAAAGGAGCGCCGCTGGACGAACTCCTCGCCGCCGACGTCTTCTTTCGCAAGGGACAAACCTGCTGGTTCTCGGTAGAGGAGAAAAAGGTACCGGTGAGGCTTAGAGCTTTTCGATAAAGTCAATATGCTGACTACTTTGCTTTATATCTACGAGCGGAAAGGAAGGATATACTAAACATATAGATAAATAGAAAACCCCACTTACTCATCCTTCGGCCCCGGCCCAAGATACTTCGTCAATATCCTTCCCTCCCCATCCTTCCCTGCGGGCTTCAACCCACTCACAACGTAATGCCGCCAAAAGGCAAACTTGGGATCATCCGGGGTCGGCGCATCAGGGTCAGTCAGGACGAATAGATACGAAGCATCTGCATCTCCCTGGATATTTGTATCTGCTTCAGGGGAGAATGAGATCCGCGGCGCCTGTTTGCACTCTCCAGCACGGAAGAAGGTTCCCAGATCAACCGCCTTGTCGCCAAACGAGACACCGAGCTGTGTCGTCGGCGCAAAGGTCGCTGGGATCAGCGCCGATGCGGGGCCCGGGACTAGGTTGGCATGGGCGAGAGAGAATGCTAGGTTGGTGGCGTGGGTGGTGAGTGACATATTGTAGTAAGTTTCTAAACTATAGTAAAACAACAAGAAAAAATGTAAATTGTTCTAAAGTCTAGTTATTACAGAGCTCTAGATGAACATAAGGATCCCGATGCCAGGTAGTATCTCGTTGTTTCTCTCCGCTCCGGCTCCACACGACCACTGATGAGGTAGGACGGGAGAACGCTTAGTGGTGGAATAAATACGATATAAAGCTTGGCGGGATTCGTCTAGCTTACTGATGTGGTATAGTTTTTGAATATTAGCTGTATATCCTTCAAGAATGCTCCTATTCGTATGTCATATCAGACGACTGTGTGCAGACTGCATTTTACAATACTGAGGGGATTAAAGAGGACCTTCGCAGGATGAGTCGCACTTTGATAGTGCTTGTGGATAGTTTGTATTATCTCTTCGATATATGAACTCTCTACTATTATAATATAATAATAGCCCGGAATAATTCTTGCTTACACTTCTATATTTGACAGCTTAAATCATTTGCTGTGTAGGTATGCCTCTATTTTGGTTCCGGTACAGAAATAGAGCTTCGCTATGTGCTCGTCGAGGCTAACAATGTAATTTCAAAGAGTTTCAATAAACTATTAGCATTAAAGCTGCCCATTCTCGAGCTCTAGTTCGAGCATGGCTATATCAAGCATTTTCATGGCATTTCCTTACCACGATCTGGTTCCAACACTGCTGAGGGTTTCGCCTCCAGCGCTTCTCTCGCTTCCATCCTTTAGAGGAATTCGGTCTACTCGAAGAAACTACTTTCCGTGAGTCAGATAGAAGCCAACTCGGGCCAAAGATATCGCAAGAGGTAGGTCGTAGAACTACTGAGAGAGTGACGCATTGTCTTACCTAAGGGTCAAATGGAGAAGACCACCCAATAACCTTGATTCTATCCTCGAACGGAAGAACTGTCCCGCATTTTCTTTTTTTATTCGCTTAGTTAATGTCTACAAAGCATAAAACAAACCACTGCACTGTGAAAATCAGTTGGTATCAAATTCTAGTTCACTCTCCGAATCAGTCAGATCGCCATATATGACCTCGCATGCGCCAGCAAGCGGCACATCCATAACAGCATCCGTTCCTTCGTTCCATATGTTCTTCCAGTCGAGCTGCTTAGCTCTCTCCTCTGTAATAGGCTTCCTAGGTTCGTTCGGCCGTATCCTGCCTTTGTGGTCGATGGTGGCGATCTTAGCTGCCTCATCGACGATAGTCTCTAGCGAAGTCATAGGAAGAGTGAGAATCTCCGTGTTGTATGCCGCGAGCGCAACGTAAATGTAGACTATAAGCATGACCAGGAACGATGGAATAGCCAGTGCCCACCACCGGTTAGGATAGTAGTAGATGCCTAGGGCATGTAGGAACGGAGAAGGCAAATATGCCCATAGTAGATAGATGAGAAAAGTCAAAGACGAGAATAGGTATAGGACGAAGCCGTAGTACTCGTACGTGGGCACCTTCGGGGATGCACGCGGCACCGGCTCGAGGTCGTCGTCTGAAGCATCGGGAGTAGTAGGCCGTGATGGACGGAGTAGCGATGTTAAGGACGGAGACGGAGGTAATGGTGTTGGAGGTCGGCCGTAGAATGGAGGCGCGAAGTAGTTCTGTTGTAATGGGGGCGGGGGTAAGGCCTCCTCGTCGCTAGATGATGATGCATCGGATTGGTTGTCTGAGAGAAAGTCTTCCTCATCCGAAATAATCGACATCTTAGCTTTTATATGTATTGTAGAACTCCCGGTAAGTTAATTAAGATACCCGCTATCAAATTTTAGATGGAGAGAGTTATGTATACAGCATCATACTTAGGTATACTCTCCGGTTCGGTACCTATCGTAATCGTCGAATAGTATAAGTTTATTATATTGCGCGTTGAAAGTCCAAGTTGAAGTTTAAGAAGTACCTAGGTACCGTTATAGTAATTTATTCAGGTACCATTGGAGAACGCGAAGGTACAAGCAAAAAGGCCGAGGCCCACTTTCTTTACTCTTGGAGGTTAGGTACGGATTATGTACCTAACATATGCATGTAAGAGGATGGAAGCAGGTACATGTATTTATTATGTATCCACCAGCCACAGGCGCGACCGCAAGGCTGGAGAAGCTTAGAGCTCCAACCTTCGACGCGAACCATCAAATTCCCTTCAATTCCCACTACAACCTTGTCGGAGGACTTGTTAATTTGTTATACAATTTGTTATAAAAAATTGTTATAGCCGATACAATGTCTTCTCAACAACCACTTCCAAATACACAGCAGCCGCTTGACGTTTATGGTGGAGGTAAGCATACAAGCTTCGTCTTCTCACTTCGCGATTCTTTTCTTTACTACCTATATTACCTATATTACCTATACTAACACACTCCACCAGACGAAGTATCAGCCCTCGTTCTCGACGCCGGTTACTGCCACACACGAGCCGGTTTCGCAGGCGAAGATGTCCCCAAATCAGTCCTCCCCTCCTTTTATGGCAGCGTAAAATATGGCGATGGCGAAGCTGCTACGTATCGCGAAGTCTTTGGCGACGAGTGCTTGATCCCCCGCGCCGACTTGGAGATAAAAAATTACATGTCGCGCAGCGAAAGCGTAGTCGAGGATTGGGATGCCGCAACTAAGATTTGGGAGCATACCCTCATCAAGCGTTTGCAACCAGATAAGCCAACGCCGCCTAGTAAAAATGGCCTTAATGACCCGGCTGAGGACGGAGAGGGCGACGTCGCTATGGAGGATATAGAGGAGCAGGAAAAGCCCCTAGCTGAGAATCCTCTTCTGATGACCGAGGCGCCGTGGAATTCTGGTAAGGCGCGGGAGAAGGCGATCGAAATTGCTATGGAGAACTGGGGTTGCCCTGCATTCTGGCTATCGAGAACGCCTGTATGCGCTGCGTTCGCCGCCGGCAAGGCCTCAGCACTAGTTATTGATGTCGGTGGCGCGAATACGAGCGTTACAGCTATCCACGATGGCATGATCCTAAAGCGATCGATCCAGAAGTCTCCAGTTGGAGGATTATGGTTGTCACAGCAGATCCGAACTATGTGGGAGAACAACGACCCTAAGATTGATGTCGTACCGTCTTTTATGATCGAAAATAAGACCCCTGTGGATGCGGGAGCGCCTGCTCAGGCGAGGCTACGCAAGTTCCCATTCGAGATTCATCCGTCGTTCCGTACCTACGAGGAGGAGCGCCTCTTGACTGAATACAAGGAATCAGTCGTTGAAGTCTGGCGAGGGCCTGGTAGGTACTCTAATCCAGGTAACGAGGACCTCGTTAGGTCACAGCCTGGTCGCGTGTTTGAAATGCCGAACGGATCAAATCAGATGTGGAGAGAGCAGCGATTTAGAGTTTCGGAGGGCATGTGGGATGAGACAGCAGCATTGCCAACGGCGGATGGTATAGCGAAGGCTCAGACTATCCCAGAGCTAATCAAGGCTGCCATTAATGCGGTTGATGTAGATCTGCGACCTAACCTACTAGGAAACATCGTTGTAACGGGCGGTACGAGTTTGCTCAACGGGTTCGGCGACCGTCTAAACAACGAGCTAATGGCAATGTACCCGGGCATGAAAATTAAGCTACACGCCCCTGGCCTGACTACGGAGCGACGCTTTGGTGCGTGGATTGGAGGCAGCATTCTCGCAAGCTTAGGAACGTTCCACCAGATGTGGATCTCGCGTAAGGAGTACGAAGAGAACGGTGCGGGAATTGTTGAGAAGCGATGCAAGTAATCGTCACAGATCCCCATTACAAGTTCATGATAATAAAGACGGATATCTATCCGCTCAGGCGTCCGGAGTTCGTAGACAACCAGGCAGGCAAGCAGCCTAGGGCTCCTTATATTTTCTACAAGGACATAAAATTAGGACTAGGAAATAGCTTTCCGTGAATATCAAGTCAAAATAGATAATCATCTATGCTGCTTTTAGTTCACTAGATAGATGCTCAAGTGATTCCGTGACGCCTCTCCGTCTGCCCCCTAACCCCTTTTTATTTTTATTTTTATACTCATGACATATCTCACCACCCGTTCCATTTCGGCCAGACATCAATAACCTCATCCTCGCGTCCTATATTCCTAGAATCTACGATTAAGTAGTAAGCATGCCCCGCACTCGCAATACACGAGTGATTCGGCCAAATCCTTACGCGCTGGCCCACGCTCAGCGCAGCCTCATCATCCTTTCCCCCAACCCATCGCAACACCCCGTGCTCTTGGCTAATCTTCGCGACCTGCCATCCTCCATGAACTTGGGGGAAATCTGCGCCCGGCACGGGTTGGGAGTTGGCTAGCACCCCCCACGGCATCGCCAGTCCCCACGCCGAGTACCGCTTCCCATCCGGCTCCTGGCACGGCTCGCGGCCTAGCGCGATGCTGCCCGCGTTTACCACGGCTTCGGTCGCGTTGTCTGGGCCCCGCGCGGGGTACACTGATGCTACGTCCGCGAGAATGCTGATCCCGATCATACTGCTATTGAGCAGGGAGAGGTCCCGCGCGTGTGCGGCTAGTTGTTGGACGTCGAGGGTAGGGTACACGCCTGCGTGGACTTCGAGCGCGAAGGAGGAGGCTTTGAGGGTTTTGAGGAGGGCTTTAAGATGCTGGGTTGGGACGGTGGTTAGAATGTCTGCGCCGTTGGCATTCCCATTACTGGTGCCGTTGGAAGTGCCGTCTGTAGACGCTAGGTCGGGGTGTTGGATTGTAGTTGCAGTGGGAGTCGCGCCAACGGAGAGGACCAGAGGGTCTTTACCCGGTGCTCGCTTACCGCGGACAACTTCGGCTACCTGCTTTAGCGCTTCGAATTCAGCTCCCAGGATACCCATGGCCTCCCAGTCCTTGCGCGCGGCGTATGAGTGTCCGGCATGGCAGTACACGCCCAGTAGGACTGATGATCCGGATTCTTCCGAGGCGAGTAGCGCGTCAATTAAGGCGGTGCTTGCGGGGCTACCGGGGATGACACCCGCGCGGTTGGTTCCTACGTTAACTTTGAGGAATACTAGGGGGGGGTTGCCGCCGGATTTGGAGGCCAGGGATGCTAGGAGAGGTACTTGGTCCACGTGGTCGATCATGACTGAGAGGGCGCCGGCGCCGAGTTCCGCGGACACGTGGGCGAGCCGGTCGAGGCATGATGCGTAGAGGGGGAATGAGTAGAGGACCTGCGTACATGATAGGGGTTAGAAGACCCGAGGAATAGGAACAAGTACAAGGGGTATCCGCTCACATTGATCTTTCGCCCTTTGTCCCGGTACTCTTTTAGTAGGGGCACGAGCTTCTCCGCTTCGATAACCGTGGAGACTATCAGGTTTACGGGACCAGAGCTCTTGTCTCCTACTTGCAGTCTTGTGAGCTCTTCAGTCTAAGAGTAATTGGGTTAGCCCGGTGTCTTTTTTCTTTGTGATGGGCACCTCTAACACTCCAAGATTAACAAGTCATACTTTGTGGGTTTTGATATGTGCCCGCCAGCTAAGTTGCAGCCGCTCAGCAGCTTCGAGCATCAAATTACAGTTTGCCTCGATCTTGGCTAGATCCAATATAGCAGTTGGCGTGATAACCTCATTGAGGCTCTTACCCACGAACTGGGCACGAAGGAGATCCTTGTTTACTTGCACCGCTGCCATTGTGATGGTTCCCTTGCTTTAATTCGTTCGTGCTTGCTTCCTATTAGTCAGTTACCTAACACTTAGTTGTCACATAGATCCCACGAACTCGGTATTGGGTTGGCTTTGGCAGATGACAGCTTGCTGATCTAATTGTTGTCAGATTATTCCCTGTAAGCTCGACATAGGTAGGGATAGCTACAATGCCCGAGTAGATATTAGGTTTACTTATACTCGGTGCCTTACATTATAGAGTTAGGACTAGGAATACGCCGAAGGGCGCTTGTCGACTCATGACCCACTGACCGCTAGATAAGTTCGGTATACTAACTTGGAGCTAGTTGGGCTGTCATGCACCACGACGAAACCACCTGCATCGTAAGTGTGGTTCACGATGTAACGACTCTTACATGAATGGGTTCGTACGTTGCGTCATGCTGGAGAGGCTATCAAGTTAAAACATGTTCGTGTGTAGAGTAGTTCAGACCGAGTGATCAATTCCTGCAGACGATAACGTAGATGGTGTCTAAACTTTTGCTTTTTTTTGCTTTTTTTTTCTCCCGTCACGCCATCGCCAAGATAATACACGTTTCTCTTACACAGCCATGATGGAAACTCCCTGCGTAGACGAAAATAGTTGAACAAAGAAATATACTACGTAGCCTAACTCGCGTTCCACCTGCTCGGGTCCAAGCATGTAAGTGCGGTAGTCGTACGCTTATCCGGGCTAGAAGAACGAAGCTATTTGGTACCTCAATATCACTCACTAGCGTGGCATTCGGATCCGCACATACTCATATAGAAATCATGGGGTTAAATCCGATCGCGGAGCCGAGTGATAATTAGAACCCGATTATTATGTTATGGATCGTCGTCTTAGGATGTTGCTTATGATAAGGGGTAAGCTATAGGTTAATATCTGTAAGAAGCTTGTCTATTTTGACTAGAAAGATTATGGTTGCATAATTGTAGCCTCATAGATGACACTCATTATAGCTTAATAGTTGATATCCTAGATAAGACTTTGTACATTACCTTATTCTAGGACTATTAAAATAACTCTTGTACGTAATTATATAGAAGCTAATTATAAGGGGTAAGATATTAAACTTGAATAACTATAGGGAAACTGAAACAAGAATCGAGCTAGTTATTTGAATCCTGGCACAACTTTTGCTAAAAACCCCAACGTAGTAATGGTATCTTAAATATTGTTGGGTTCTGCCAATACGTGGTTGATAGTGATTTGGTACCAGTGCTTCCTCTGTTCACATGACTCCGGTAAGCTACAGCGAAGTCTGCATTTTTCACCGGTTAAGAGTTTTTATAAGCACGTATGGAACGTTGTTATCGGTATGCCTATCAAATCAAATATCCCATTAAGGTCAGTGTTGTACTTGATGCAGGATTCCTAGAGGGTTGCGCGGCAACAAGTACGACCTCAGACAGCCATGTAAAGAAGGTTCCTTTGTAAAAAGGACCTTAGGATTTCAATACAATTTTGGCCTCGGGTGCTCCGCGAATACAAAGGTCATGCTGCGGGGTAATCATTGCAGCATACCTAGTGCGTAGGGAACTTGAACTTTGATAGAGGTCGGATAAAGGGAAGAAGTGAATATATTTATATCAATATCTAATAGGTAGAGTGAGTTTTAAGTTCCCGACTTGTATAATTACCTGGTATTTTATAAAGTGAAACTGTTAACTTCGTGAACCTATAATGAGCGAGAAACAACAGAGACATCCGGGATTATGAAGAGTAAAAAGAAAACTTCTTCGAAAAAGTCTGAATGTATTGGTGCTGTGATTAATATAAAGCCTTGCGGAAACTCTTGCCATGCTTCATACACAAAGGTGGCAGTATTTTTATTAATAAATAAATCTTGGGTTTCACAACATTTGCTGAAAGCTGCCGAATAGGCACCTTGGGAATAGGCCAGCTGACTAAGCAAGTACTTTAATACCTAAGGTAGATCCATTGCTTCCAGGGCTACATAGTACAACTGGCAGCCACGATCTACGTACCTGCTATTTAGCCACATAATTGACCCATAACTTTTGTTTCTTTCTTTCTATGTAAGTGCTAAGCTTTTGATTTTTCACTCCCAAGGATTCAACTTCTTTCACACCTTGCCTTATGTACACTTCTTGATATGTATGCTCAACTACCTAGGTATTCATAGCATTAACGGTGCATTTAATATAGGTGGTAGTTATATTGAATCCAAAAGATACATCACTACCAGAAGTTATTGACGTTTAGTTTTTAACTTTCTTTTTCTAGTCTCTTTATTGTTAAGAAATCCTCATCTGAAATATTGACATGTACCAATCTGTCTCCTATAAAGACCCTGGGGTGTGTGTATATGATTTACCTGGTACGTACATAGGTACCTATGTATGGTTCAATCTTGGTCAAGGCTTCCCCCGCGGTCTAGGAAGACGTACCTTGGTACCACTTTAACGCGACTTCCCAATTTCAAGCCCCTACCATTCAACTCATCGACTATCTACGAATCAATCTCAATTTCAATTTCTTATCCCCAATAGTCTTTTTTTTTCTGGTCTCATCTAGCGCGTGGTTTGCTTGCTAGCTTCGCGCCTCTTTGATTCTATATTTCGGATGAAGTTCATACGCGTGGCGTCCGTATTATCCTGACATGAAGTAGCCTAGCACATTGCCATCCTTCCGTTCGCGAACGTCCCCGACAACGTCGACAAGTCCCTTTACAACGCTAGAATCGCGCGAGATATCATGGACGATTTAACTGCAAGTTCCCCGGCCTCGGGCTCGGTTCGTGTAGATGGGGTCACCATTAAGGAGGAGGAGCCCGATCACGACCAGGTAAATGGGCAAGCATTCAAAACTATTGATTGGGCTGCACAGGAACAGCAGGACGAAGATGATATTAACAAAATATTTTCGAACGAGGGAAGAGTTACCATGCCGGAAAACTTCGAACTATTTGGCGACAAAGTAATCGATCAAACGGATAAGGCAGTAGACGCCATCGATTTCGAAGACATCAGCGATAGTGACCTGGCTTCGGATGACGGTTCTAGTGCTGTTGGTGCGGGCATCTCGCAAGTTCCTGGTCTTACTGAAGATGAAGGTACGAGCCATGAGAACGAATATATGGATGACCTCTTTGGAGGCGGCCCCGAAGGCGAACCAGATTTTCCATCTTCACCACCTGCAGCCGACACGGCAGCAGAGCAACCCTCGGGTGGCTTAACTATGCCAACCAAGACTGTACTGGTTAAAGAACGCGACGTTACGGACGAGGCTTGGAAGAACATGTCATTTGAGGAGAGGCAGAGACTTAATTTCCCCCAGTATAACTTGTCCATAGATAAATGGATGAACCAGGTCAGCAAAGAGGATACCACAGTTCAGAAGGTTCCTGAAAATGTAGATGAGCTCCTGGCGCAGAAATTCCCAGGTTTTGCAAAACATAAGACTCTCTTCTTCAACCAGCTGTTCCCGGAATGGCCCGCAGAATACATATACAAGGAACCCCCGAATAAGGACAGGGATCCTCCCGAGTTTGTACCTACCAAGCTTGAGCTAGAACTGGAAGCCGATTCCTCAAAACTATTTAGGATCCCGGAGAGTGCTCTGTCTGCTCAGAGAGGCGGTTACAATGACGAGGACGACCGGGGCTTAGATGCCACAGATAGCTACTCAGACACCTCAGCCTCAGAACAGTCACTTATTGGGGGCTTCAGCTTAGACGAGATTGCCACAGTATGCGACGACTGGAGCTCGTTCGCGCATGCCGACTCATCTATTCAGAAGGGTATCACTGCTGTCGACAATGATGACGAAATGGATGATTGGGAGAGAGAATTCTTGCAACCGCAAGCTACGAAGAAGCGACGTAGATACGAACCTGGTCTCCCGAAGATATCATCGTATGATACTCGCCATATTGATGACTTCCTCGGAGAGACGCGGCGAGCTAGCAAACACGTCAGACTAGACTATGACGACCCCTACCTTTTGATCGATAAAGATGGAGGGAAGGAGCGACCATCTAAACGCCCGAAGGTCGAGGAGAAGACTAAGAGAATGGCTAACGGCCAGCTGAGAAGAGATGTAATGCATCACTTTAACCTCTCCAACGACGACGCGTACGAGGCGCTGAAGGCGAATCACAAGAGCAAAGTCAGAGCTACTCTTTCAAATCTTTCCGTCGAGCACAGCTTGCCGGCGCTCAAGCTAACTTTTCCCTTCTATCGAACCAAGGTTGACGTCAAGCCTTGGGAGCATCACCGCAAAAGGTTTGAGCTAGATAAGATCGTGAAGCATGCTATTGGCGTACGCAAAGCAACGAAGGTTAGGCGAAAGGATACGAAAGGAAAGACCAATCAGGAGATCTTCCGTAATACGAAAGACCTCAGCTTAAACGACAACTCTACAGCTGTTCTCTTCGAATACTGCGAGGAATTCCCCACCATGATGTCCAACTTTGGCATGGGTAGCCGCGTGATCAACTATTACCGCCGCAAAGATCGAAATGACGAGGATAAGCTCCCGAAACTCGACATCGGCGAAGGTCACCTGCTGCTACCAGAAGATAGATCGCCCTTCTCTATATTCGGTACTGTGGACCCGGGCGAGACGGTCCCCACGTTGCACAACGAGATGTATCGTGCCCCGATCTTCAGACATGAGCCTAGACCAAATGATTTCATTCTCGGATATTCAACAAACGCTACCGAAGGTCCGAAGTTCTATCTTCGCAAAATTGATCATGTCTACACGGTTGGGCAGACGTTCCCTTCGTTGGAGGTGCCTGGTCCCCATGCCAGGAAGGTCACAAATACGTCGAAGAACCGTCTCAAGATGATCGCATATCGCATGATGAAGAAGAAGGAAACGCAGGATGTGGGCCTTAACGAAATCACACCTCATGTATTCGAGAAGCCAGATCCACAAAACAGACAGAAGATGAAAGAATTTCTTCTGTACGACAGAGAGAGGAAGACATGGGTTTTGCCGGAAGGGCAAACGCTCATGGACGAAGCCGCTATACGATCTATGATCAAGCCGGAAGATGCATGCCTGATAGAAGCTATGCAAATCGGCCAGGAGACGTTAGCAAATGCCGGCTACGATCCTAAGGACAGGGAAGAGGATGATGACAATGCGGAAGAACCATTGGTGGCTAAGATGGCACCATGGGAACTTACCAAGAATTTCATCGATGCCAGCGCGGGCAAGGCTATGGTGGCCCTCCATGGCGAAGGCGATCCTACCGGCCACGGCCTTGGATTCAGTTTTATAAAGACGTCTATGAAGGGCGGTTATATAAATGCTGTACAGGGCCCCCTGGCTACTTCGGCAGATGCGATTGAACGCGAACGTAAGGCGAACGGCGGCCATTCGTACAACGTCAAGAAGCAGCAGGATATGTATAACGCGGCCATTCATCAGATCTGGGAGAGACAGAAGAGCACACTTAGCGACCCTACTACGCATGACGACGCAGACGTTCTTGATACAGCTAATGAGGATGATCGCTTCAATTCGAGACAGCCCGATATGACCCCTGCGCCGGTGGATGACGGACGTAGCCAGTTCAGCCGCTTCAGTGCAGCTAGCCGTTCGGGCAGGAAGAAGCTCAAGATCATTCGTAGGAAGCGGAACGAATCCGGAGAGATTATCACGGAAACCATCATCCTAGATAATCAGACAGTCATAAGGAGCTATCTAAGACAACGCCGAGAAATTGACGAAAAGAATAGAGAGTAAGTCGATCCAGCTTGTCGCATACAATAGAAGTCAACCTATGCTAATATAATTTTTAACTCTAGTGTCTATAGTCTACAGCCTACTGCCGATGCGGATGACAATCGCGAGAAGCAGAAACTGTAAGTAGTGATTATTAAATGCCTCATAAAATTCTAACATTCTGGTAGTGTCGACAAGGAGCTCTCGAGGCTCCTCAAGAACCAAGATCGACGCCAAATCCGCGAGAAGCAAGGCAAGAGTAAAAAGAAGAAGAACGACACTAACCCTGACGCATCTCCGGATCCGCCCGCTGGTGATAAGGCATCAGCCGGTACGACTCGAAAATGTGCCAACTGCGGACAAGTAGGACACATCAAAACAAACAAAAGGTACTGGCACTATTGCTCTCTTTAGACTTACCTTGAACATTATGCTTCCTAAAACTATAATCACGTCTCGCGTTGCTGCTCGGCCTATAACATCGCCGATACTGATCGCCCTTTTTCTCAAATATGCATAGACAGTCTTATCAGTTTCCTATTAAGCTCCGATCTCTTTATCATGTTTATATACATATTAATCACAAAGTAATCACATAAGCTAACTTCCGATATAGCAAATGTCCCCTGCTTAACGGGACAATCACGACGAGCAATGGGGGTGCCGACCATGGCGGATTCGGCTCTTTCGGAGCACCGTCTGCTGCACCGTCATCGGCTAACGAGTAAACGGAGAACGGGAAGACGGTTGCGGTGGTTCATTTCTGTTTTCTTTAATAGATTTACGTTTAACGAGTCCCGATTATACGGGATGATAATTAAGACAATGTGGATCAAGGGGAGGCTACTACAATTCTCTGGTACGACTGACGTATAGCTATTTCCCCTTTTCCTCCCCTTCGTCTTCTCGGTCATGCCGATTCATTTCTTCGAGGCCCCTGGGGCATAGGGCAGGTCGATTGTTTTTACCCAAAAAGGCACTAGGATGGTAATTTCGAGTCGGTTGATACGTCCGGGAATGGTTAGGGGCGTGGCCAAATTTGGAAGCATAGGCATGGTGTTTAGGTTCGAGAATGGCTCTACATAGCTACAAGAATATTCTCAAGGGATATTTACAATTTGTTTTGGACGATGGAAGGTCCAGTGCAACCACCCGCTCTTCGTGGTTGGACAGTATGTAGTTCTCTGTATGCAAGTCTCCCGCTCCAACCGAACCCCTGGAATGGTGGTGAGCGCCTAAGCAGATAGAACGGTAATACGAAAATGGTCTTAACAATTTCTAGAAGACTTCTGTAGCAACGAAACCATGTGCCATGTGCTCGCAAGCCTGCATATTGCTATACTTAGAAGCAATAGGTGCGAGAGTATTACCACAAACCCGCTATGCTGTCAGCCTTTAGAGGTATGTAATACTGACGTGCATTTCCGTGCCACGTGGATGCGGAGAGTTCTCCGGGTACTTCCTGATATCTCTTTGCCTAGGTACTCTACTGTTGCATCTCTATTCGTGTATTTGTGTATTCGTGTTGGAGAAAGAAAAAGTTTTCTCTTGATTTCCTTTTCTGATAACCTGCCTATGCAGCTGCTGCCTTAGCTATTCTGTATCTGCAGCAATAGAAGACATGCGGTGAGGTAGGTAGTAGTGAAAACTCTGAAGAGGAACGCTTATCTGTAAAGGTGGTAATCAAATGCAACGGTACTTACGCAAGTGGACTCAATATTGCAACATGCGTATTATTTGCAGATAGACATTTACCGCTAGAGACAAGAAAAAGGCGGGCAGCGAATAAGATGGCAGCTTGGTAGAATCATACGTCTAAGACATATATGTACCTACCTACATTGATTATGTAGGCACTGTGTGAGAAGAGAGAACAATAGTTAGTCTCAAGTTGGATGACGGGATTTTGTGTGTGCCTGACTAGTTCTATACTCTGACCTATACTCTGACAACTTCTATACCGCGATTTAGGTGAGATAAGTGGCATATGTGATAAGTCGATCTGCCACGTTGCCAGGCCGTGACGTGATACAAGCACGACAGCAACATGGTACAATGCAGGGCAAGGGCCGAAGGTGACGACGGAAGATAATTGTCCTTTGCGCAGCTGTTTTGGGGGCGGCAGTGGAGGACGTAAAAAGCAAGGAGCAAGGAGCAAGGCAGTGTAGAATGTGTAGAATGCGTAGAAAGTATTCGGCTCCGGTGTTCCGGTCCCGACACTTCGTTTGAACATCTATTTTCCTAGGTGCTGTAACATCGATATGCGATCCTATCCACGATCGAACCGTGTTTTATCAAGACTTCAGCCCTGCCGCACGCTCCTCTGGGGGCTCGATTCGATGCGATCCGAACTGTAGGCCCGTTCGTCGCGGTAGTTGGAGTAAAGAGTGGCGCTGCACTTAGATCAAGCCCCGTTAAAGATTCGGTGTCGGTGCCGGAAGCCAAGAATAATTATAATGTAATTATAATGTTGTGTATAAACACTTATAGCCCCCAATATCGGTGATATCTATGGAGTATCAAGTAAAAGTCCCCACCAAGATTAACAGCTAGAAGGTATCTAGAATACGTGGATGGATCGTGGCTAGAACGAGCTACGAATTCCATCCCGCATCACTTGCATAGTTTCCTCCTCTTGGTTCCTATACTATTCCTACTATAGCTATATACATACGTACATTTACACAATAGAAACCAGCTGGGAGACCCCAGAATGCTGGAATGCAGTATTAGCCCCTTGGAGACGTAACCAATCTCTTCGGGATGAAAAGGAGTGAACTAATCGGGCCTAACATCATGAAGAATGAAGAATAACAAAACTCAGAAAGATGGATAAAGGATTAATTAGCCCAACTGCGGACAGGGGAACAGCGCAGCATGGGCTATCATTCCTCCAAGGGGTTGGCCGTATTACGTAGGCATTATACGACCAAAGAGAGCAATTCTTCCATAATCACCATCATTACCAACGTCTTATATGTGTACTAAGTAGGTAATTGTCATATAATTGTCATAGTCTTTTGTCACAATCTCATTATTCATTCCATAGCCCTTCTGAAAGCGCTTCTAACCGTTCCACAACATGAGAAAGAGGAGAGACAGAGAGCAGTTTTTCTCATTTGTTTCCTTTCTCCCCTTGAGGCTGGATCATGATCATGCACTCTGCAGGTACTGGGCGGTATGCAGTAGTGATCCTGATAAGCAGTGATCACCCCTCCAATACCAGACCTGAGTTTTTGCCGTAAAGGAGATTCCGGAGTTTACTTTTCAAACTTGTCCGTAGCATATTATCATGTCAAGTCTCAAAGAAACCCCCCCAAGAAAAAAAAAACCTTTAGTCTCGTTCCTTTCGTCCTAGAATACGGGATGCTATGATATGCATATAGTAGTAGTAGCAGTAGTAGAGGTATCATCATCTACGATTAAAATTTCCGTACATCGTAACGTGAACAGCCCGGGCCAAGTAACCATACCCGTTTTTGATTTGATTTTACCCATGTCTACCAGGAGGGTAAATTGCTTTGCTTCGGCCAGTAATTCGGACAAATTATGACAAGTTGGGATAAATTAGCCCACATAGGTGCGCGAGATTGCGGGCTAATTGGTCGAAATGGGTAGCAAGGTGAGGATGCGGAGTGCGGTGGGGCCATGTGATGATGCTATAAATAGCCTATTTTTAGCATTTTCGGCTCGGCTGTCGTGCATAGTGGAACACCTAACCTATCGAGTTAAGTTACACAGACCAATCCGGGTCCGGGGGGAAGGGAGGGGGGCCATGCGAGATGCAGATGCGATGCGAATGCGTGCAAGGTGCAAATGTTATAAAATAGCAAAATTATAAATTCTGATTGCTGATTGCACACATCTCCTTGTCCAGCCTTGCAATAGGTATGTAATGTAATTACTTGCAGCTAGAGATACGCGATTTCTTCGTTGGAAAGATAGGACTCTGTTCCGTTCCCCGGCGCTTAACCGCCGTTAGATATCGGCCCCGATTTTGAGGGGCTGCGCCGCCAAGCGGCATGAAATCCTACCGTTCTATCCCCTAACTCCCTAACTGTTTTTATCCGACCTTTTTGGTTGTTTTTTTTTTTTTCCTTTCTCATTCCTTGTATCAACCTACTACCTATTACGCTACTTCACCGTCCCGATTAGTCTTGAAGTGTTACCGAGTATCGTAACAACCCTAGAAATGTGCTATGCATGTTGGTGCAAGATGGGCTCGGCACCGAATCGCTAGCGAGAACACTTTGTCCCTCGCGCTTAGAGATTTAGTTATACTCCCTTTGAATGGCGGATCAAGTTAGAAACATAGAGATTGGGTAACAGCGGTGATGGAATTCGATAGACCTGCTTCACCATGCGTTGCGGCTTTGTCGCGATTCTACAATAGCGGTAGTACTATATCGGGCAAGGACTCGCCCGACAAGAGTATACCGTTTCTATAATCATAATCCTCTTTTCTATACTTGGAGAAACAAGCAGACAGGTAAGCGTCAAAGTCTCCGAGTTCCGTAACATGTACCCTCATCTATGTAAGTGCTATTATGTAGAAACAGACAGACTCGTCTGATGTGATATGTAAGAACGGAGGCAGAGACTGCTCTGGGCTTGTTTTCCCCGGACCCGATGCTCGCAGATCTCCGCAAGGGTCTTCTCCTTATGGATATTATCCATATTGAAGCCAGCACAGCTGTATAGTATTAGACAGCAGCCGGGAAGATGCACGGCGCAAGGGCAAATATACGAGTTGGCACGTTTTAGTGAGTCTCTAGCGAGCTTAGCGGGCGGCAAAATTCAAGGTGCGGTAGTTTCAAGGAGACTTTATACAACACTGAGAACACATGGCCTTGAACGACGCAGGTGTAACAAGGGATTTTCAGAAGTAGGCGATATTCGAGAAGTAAAAGAAATAAAATATACATGGAAGCTTAATTGATACTCGCCTATCTCACCGCCCCTGAAATTATACCTGACTATGTATGTATGTGGGTAAAATTCGTATTGTTGTATAAATCATGAGGCTCTATTGGCGTAAGTACCACCATATCTAATATGTATCTACACAGCAAGGGATAGCTGGCGTGTACAATATAGAAGGAGGGATGAGAATTCAATTTGGGGGCCGTTTCAAGTGATGAAACCTTTCTCCTCATGGATAAGGATTCTTTAGGGACTTCGAGCCACGGGCTACGATACGACGTTGATTGGCTTGAGTCGTGCGGTAGGAGGAGATGGCTAGGGGTTCACGATGGTGATCGATGACGACGATGCGCAATACCAATGATCTGAATCCCATAAGTGAGCGAAAAATAAGAATCGAATTGTCAGGATACCGATTCGTCTCTGCCCTTTCGGGGCTGTACCTTAGGTAGGGTAAATCTGTAAGGCTAGAGTGTATCGTGTGATGTATTTCTTTACTCAACTTTCTCAAAAGGGCGATTGGGCGCTTTGCGGTAAGTCTAAGCCACACGGCTGTTCTTTTTTTTTTTTTTTTTCTTTTTACGGACGTTAGCTTGGTCCATTTGGTCCTTGCAGCCTCCGCCATTTTCTCCATCTATAGTGCATCATTGTGCTGTTGCTCGCAGTTTACAGTGGACAAACAACAGGCTATAGAAAGAGGCGGCCGGGGCTTGCTGCCAGGGGTCTTTTTTCTCCCCTGTGGCACTTGGTCGCGCTACACGCTAGGGCTGGCAGGCTGGGCTAGTGTATCCCATTGAGCTAGGAG